TGTCACAGGGAAATGAAACTTGCAGGATCTAGTATCCATTATGAGTCCCACAACTTGTATATCTCGGATTTTTCCTAAAGGTCATATGAGGTCAGGTCATTTTCGTGACCTCACCATTATAAGTCAATGGGGAAAATCAAAAACTGCTATTCTGGCGCCGGGAACGATCTCTAACTATCTCAAGCACACAGAATCGTGATTTGATGCACTCCTTGCAAGGTTAGATGCGTCACTTTTGCAATGTTGACCTTGCGTGACGTCATTTATGACGTCATCAAGGTCATATTAGTTTTTCGTCAATAACTCTTGATCAAATTGAGCTAGCGAGTCGGGAAAGCCACCAATGGACTCAGGAAGACCTGCCGAATCGAATGATATGCGACATGACCTCTTTCGACCAGCTTCGTGACCTGGGGGTGCTGACCTGACCTTGACCTGAGGTCAACACCCCAAGTTGACCTGACCCGGACAAAAGTACATCATTCGACGCGCCTGAGCGAGACGAACACGATGCTGCCAAAATCGGCGCTCTGCGGCCGTTTTTTGCGAAGTTATTCACCAAAAACTGAACCGTACCTTGGGGCACTTGACCTGACCTCAGAGGTCACCGGTTGACCTAGGACCTTAAAATCGGGTACCAATCTCTGCGTCTCGTAACGGCGCACACGCTCGTTTTTTCCGCGACGCGCTAGCTCCACCAGGGGCGAAACGGCGAGGGGGGATCGTACCCGCCCCCCCCCCCCTCGGCCGGCGCGTATGTAGAAAACCAATAGGTCCGGCGAGGGTTAAACATGCAACGGCATCGGCACTCAAATGATGCCATTTCAGTCGAGGCACATCAGATATTTTACCAAATTTTGGCACAATCAATATTTACTTATTTTATATACCTAATCTCACTGGATTGGTGATGAAATAAATCGGTTGCGTTTTGCATATCGATATAGGTGTTGGTGAAGGTTGGTGATCGCATGACATTCATGACTGTTTCAACTTTCAGAGCTTCCACCAAACCCCGCGAATAAACAACTGCTCCGCCTGGAGCCGCGTACGATAAAGCAAACTCTCTGCGGGCGAGCGGGGGAGTGCTGACTCACTGATCTGTGTCCATAAAAGGGCCTGCTGTCGGCGGGTGCGGAAGCGCCGCTGGTTCCTAGCACTGGCAGTTATGACTGCTGGCACTGGCAGAGCGCTGCTGACGAGTGCAGTGACCGGCCACCCCCGCCTCCCCGCCCTCAGCCGCAGGTCCGTGGCATCCCCAGTAAACAACGCGGTACTCAGTATTGACTTGTATGACGGCTACAGGGGCTATACACGTGAGGAACGACGCACTGTGGGGCGACACTACCGCGGTCGACGGCGCCGCCCATCAACATCATATCTACATACAACCGCTGCAAAAACAATCACATGGCAAAAACACCGCCCGTGTCATGGCACGTGTCTACTGTGCGGTGACCTGTCAGCCCGCCCCGGGCGCAATGCCCGGCCGTGCCACCGCGGCAGAACCGGCCGCACCGCGGCCGATCACCACCAGAAACCACGCGCGCGCACACGCAGAGAACGCACACAAATGGACACATCGAGCGCAAATTGAGACGACGACACTCAAACGAGTACAAGAGCACACGCGCACAAGCACATTATACGTTAGCATCCCTGTACACAGTTGACCCAACACGAGATGGAGGTACCGACGTCTCCTGGCGCCATCCGATGATTGCACTGTCAACTGTAAAGTGTTGACCATTGGTAGGCCCATGCCTGCCATATACTTATGAAATACTTTGCGTTGAAATATTCCAAGTGTGTGAGGCCAAGTAAGTCACCATACGGTGGCAACGCTTTCAATAAAAATGAAACTGGCATCACACACATAAAAACTACAGAAATAAATCATTTTTTTCACCACTGAAAAATAATGACACAAGAACAATTAACGATACACAAAGAAAACACTCACTTCATAAACAGTAAAGCAGACGAACTGGTGAAACGAAAGACAAGTAGAGGTCAACAAGCAAGTTCAACTCAACCCAATGCACCCAGAGTTATTTTGGACGATACGAAAACGGTCATCAGTAGAAGTCAGTAGCTTACTGGTTTGCCTGTCCCGACTTACAGGCTGGTTAGAGAGTGTTCAGGGTTACCGGACGGTTACAGAGTATCCAGCTGGTTACCGGCTAGCTATAATGTCCAGGGCTACCGCTCGGATTACAGAACCATCAGAACAAAACGAACCTCAGAGTAGGGCAGTGGTTTAACTGCCGCTCGGTTACAGTTTGGTTACTGCTGTGGTTACCCCTCGGTTACAGAGCCAGAGAACCAGGGACGGCCTTAGATACAGACTGTAGAAGCCTGTGTCATGTGAAAGGAGCCACTCCGGGGCAGGGTTGTATACCAATCAAGTCGATTGAATTGATTGATTTGTTTCAACGCGTATTTTGAGTTGATTGGATTGAGTCGATTGACTTTTCGAGATGACTGGTTGACTGACTCGTTTGACTTTAGCGACTGGTTGACTGATTTGATTCCCGAAAATTAGAGTGACTCGTATGATTGAGTCGATTGAATGGCAAGTTCAAATAAGTTTTAGTTGACAAAAAATAATGACACCAATTGATGACATCAAAGATCACAAAACTACACTGAAAACTGCTTGTCATCACAACTGCAATATGGGGTAGATGGCCAAATAAAGAAGAGGGCCTAAACATGAACAGCGAACTTTGACTTTCAACTGCAATAACTTATAACTCCTCCAATCCTGGTGATAGAACCTGGCGATGCACCTACCTACCTTTCTGCACTCAGCAGGAAACGTTTTTTTTTTAATCCAGATGATAAAGTGCAAGGCCCTATATACTAATAAAGTGTGATTAATTAATAATTCACGTCTCCACATCTCCTCAGAAACAACCCACTGAACTCTATAAATATCTGAAACCCCTACAAAAATAACTGAAACAAAAGCGCCGTTTTCGTCTCGCTAATTACGTTTACTTACCTAATTAGTAGCTAATTTGCTGTATTGTTTAATTTGCAGCAGAACGTTTGTTGATCCTTTTCTCCTGAGAGACTAAGCATAACATATTTAATATATTTCATTTTCCTTAAAATATTTTACCGAATATTATTAAGTGGTTTTATTTCAAATGAAATAATAACTAAAACGAAATTGGTGTTGTACAACCGATTTATTTTATGATGATCTACCATACTGCATGATATTCAATGACGTCATCTCACAAAAAAATCAAAAGACGTAGAATAAGGATTTATAAAAGCTTAGCATACTTATTGGCAAAACGTTTTCTTTGCAGTCGCACCGTGCTGTTTTCGCGTTTTAATTTTCCTTGTTCCTACTTCCTTTGTCCTTAACTTATCCTGTGGTTCCAGAGTCCCTGTCCTCTCCATTTCCTTTTAATATATTTTTAATCCTCATCCTTATCCCCCCAGTCCTAACAGTTTCAAATTGTATTGCAATAAAATGTTTTGAATTCTTCACATAGGTACCTAACATTGACATGCCACGTCCAGAGTCGTAGACCGCTAAATACTTCAAATCTCTTCCTTCCCAATCTGACAACATCCCACGTCTCAAATGCACATTGTGTGGAAAGATTTTTTCAGGCTGCCCGTCAGTCTCTGTCTAACCGAAACCGTCACATGCAGGTTAGATATTTATTTCTTTTTCCCTATGGTTAATATGTTATTGATGCATATTATCCATTAAAATAGACATGGTGTAGGGTAAATGGCCAAATCACGAACACTGCTAAAATCCGAGCAGCCAACTTTCAACTGCAATATCTGATATTTATTGTAAATGGAGTTGGAATATGGCCAAAATTAAATTGACAACTTTTAGGTGAAAGGTGGTCCACCTGTCCATCACTAGATATCCATCCTTATAACATAGAAACTTTGAATGGCATGGCAATTTATAATTTTAACCCTCGCCGGCCGAGGGGGGGGGGGGCGGGTGCCGCCCCCCCATAGGGTTTTTCGCGATAGCTCCGAACACGCTGGCGATAGAGAGCTGAAACTTGGCATACCTGACCTTTGATCCAAGCCCGATCTTTTGACACCAACCGCATTTTTGGGTCAGGTCAGGTCACTGACCTATGACGTCATAAGTGAACCTCTGCACGGTCTTCAGATGTCGCAACTTCGCAACGCCCTCACTGCCAGAGGAGATGTCACAGGGAAATGAAACTTGCAGGATCTAGTATCCATTATGAGTCCCACAACTTGTATATCTCGGATTTTTCCTAAAGGTCATATGAGGTCAGGTCATTTTCGTGACCTCACCATTATAAGTCAATGGGGAAAAATGAAAACTGCTATTCTGGCGCCGGGAACGATCTCTAACTATCTCAAGCACACAGAATCGTGATTTGGTGCACTCCTTGCAAGGTTAGATGCGTCACTTTTGCAATGTTGACCTTGCGTGACGTCATTTATGACGTCATCAAGGTCATATTAGTTTTTCGTCAATAACTCTTGATCAAATTGAGCTAGCGAGTCGGGAAAGCCACCAATGGACTCAGGAAGGCCTGCCGAATCGAATGATATGCGACATGACCTCTTTCGACCAACTTCGTGACCTGGGGGTGCTGACCTGACCTTGACCTGAGGTCAACACCCCAAGTTGACCTGACCCGGACAAAAAGTATATCATTCGACGCGCCTAAGCAAAGCGAACACGATGCTGCCAAAATCAGCGCTCTGCGGCCGTTTTTTGCGAAGTTATTCACCAAAAACTGAACCGTACCTTGGGGCACTTGACCTGACCTCAGAGGTCACCGGTTGACCTAGGACCTTAAAATCGGGTACCAATCTCTGCGTCTCGTAACGGCGCACACGCTCGTTTTTTCCGCGACGCGCTAGCTCCACCAGGGGCGAAACGGCGAGGGGGGGGGGGGTCGTACCCGCCCCCCCCTCGGCCGGCGCGTATGTAGAAAACCAATAGGTCCGGCGAGGGTTAAATGACAATATTTTTATGTTTCTTCTGTAGGTAGGTAGGTAGGTAGGTACACCAGACTGCTATGGACACTTTTCCAAGTTGGTGGGGCAAAAAACCTAATGTATGTCTTGGTTTGAGTTGTTTGATTGAGTTGATTGATTCCTTTCATTGTCGCGTTTGAGTCGATTGAATCAATTCCCGAAAACTGCTCTGACTTGATTGATTTGATTGGTTTCCCAAATTTGTCGTGATTGAATTGATTGCTATTGATTGAGTCGTATACAACCCTGCTCCGGGGTGCCGCGAGCGCACCTCTGTGGGTAAGTGTAGTGTTCAGTTTTCACTGCACGATGAGCCCAGGTCAGCTAACTCATATCGCCAGGTCAGAGCATCGGTGTAATATCGACAGAGAAAATGTAATTAAAGTTCGTCACTTCTTAAAACATTTTAAGAATTCCGTCTTTGAATCATATAAAATGTGTATATTATTATTTATTTAACTAATGGCATTGTTTGTCTTTCGATGCCTTTCGAAAACCATATCTTTTAATGGAACAAAGTTTGGTGTTTTGTGACCTTTGTTATGAGATTGCAGCCCAACCGAGAAGATTAATTTTGAAGTTAACAAATACCGTATTGAATGACGACGCAATAACTGAAATAGTGTTACAAAACTATAAGATTGTAACCGTTTAATTTGATTATTTTCTGACCAGCTCAACCGTGGTAGCTCTGACCGAAGACCAACACCGCCTGTTTCTGGGTCACATCAGCCTGACACTGTCGGCGGCTCACATCAGTGACATCAGCTGGCCATCACTCAGCGGCGCCACGCGGCCGGTTAAACACTACTGCCCCACCCCGAACTGGCCAGAGGCCATACGCCCTAGCCAGATCAGTTTCAGAGGTTCTTGAATCAGCCATGACGAAATAGACAAACACTGAGTGGTTGGACATGAGGCTCGTCAATCGTCAGCTGGGTCAGCTGTGGTGGCACCGTCCTGCAGGCTGGCTCCGTTTGGTTTGGTCCCCTAAACCGCAATAATGCGAAAAAGACGGACATTGGTGTGTGAAGGCCGCGAGCATCGAGACGCTAGTCTGAACGCGCTCCGGTGTATGGGCGTCAAATCACAGCGAGAGTGGTCGCGCCGACCGCGGTACTGCCCAGTCGAGTGGGTGGCGGACCGCCGCACCTTGTCCGTCCTACTGAGCCCGGCGCGGGCGGCCCACACGGCTCACTGGCGGCTGGGCCCGGCGCCGGCCGCCGACCGGGGGCGGGGGCGGGGGCGGGCGCCGAGCCGCCCTCATGGGCTGGACGTGTGCAGACTGTCGTCGCTCTCCAGGTAGGAGACGTACGAGTCGGAGCCGACGTCAGCCTCGTACTTGACCGGCGGCGCCGGCGGCGGCGGGTGGAGCTGCGCGTCGCTCCGGCTCAGGCAGCCGGGGTCACCGCCCGGGGGCGCCAGCGGCAGCGGCTCGGCGCCGAAACCGTGCATCTGAGAACGGAAGGGACAAAACGTCACAGACTGAAGGACAAGTAGAGCTAATATGCATGTCAATAGCGTGGTCATTACGGATCTAAAGTAGATCAACAAGTTAGAAAATCTGCATGGCAACACAAAAAGTAAACAAATAAACAGCCAATTACAACGATGTAACAGGCAGCGTGTCTGGTCTCTTGAATACCTTCACGAACAATGTCGATTTCACTAGTTCATTAGTTATCATCAGAAATTAGGTGAAGAAAGTCCATCATGCCATATTGCATCAGGCAACGACGTATAAATTTATGCAGTATTTAAAACACACAACCTCCCAACAATCATGAATATCGCATCCCATTATTGGGTATGACACCTTATCGACTTTGTTACGCGGTCATTCACCTTCCTCGCTGTCGCCTACCTATCTTCTGGGGGTCATGCAACGCTCCCATTGCGGTGAGGCCGCACGTGCCAGTGCCGGTCATCCATGATAGAATGACGGCGTCATTTTCACGCCAGCCGCTGGATTACCGTCACGTACAATACCGATTCCGCTTTAATCAGCAGCACTCGCAATTAGCTGAGCGACGCCGCCCATCCGTCACCACCTAGCTTTATTATTAACGCCTCCTTATTCCACAAGTGGCTACCGTCATCAATAATTCGCCGTCTGGCCCGTGTCGGACAGCTTTCTGACGCCTTCATTACGGGTAGAATTAAAATGGCTCATGTTGACCGGCCTGTCGTCACTCATCCGCACGGGCTATTTGAAGGGACGGTGGAGTGTGCCCCGGGGCGCGGGCCGCCTCCCGGGGACCGGTACGGGCGCTAACGGCCCGACTAATAGCGGTAATAGCTGAGGGCGGCGACGGGCGGCCGCTGTCGCCGCGCCGGACCCCGCACTAATTACAGGTGTTAAAATCAATAGAGCGCCGCCCCCGCCCCCGCCACCGCCAGGACGTCGTCCTCGCCGCCGGCTGTGGGTCGACGTCAACAGGTATAGTGTATCCGGACCAGGGATTACCTCCGACCACCAAACTTCCTGGGCGACAGAGGGGTGGCGGGCCCCAAAACGCAGCCTCACACGCACCTATGTCCCTGTTGGGGCAATCAACGTTTGATCGACGATACTGGGCTATTTTTGTGTTGGAAGACGCACACGATAACCACTATAAATAAAAATGCATTTTAATCATATGTAAAAACAAACATTTTTAGCTTACTGAGCGGCCCAGGAAACGATGTCATCCTTTTATGGTGGATGGCTGATCATCTTAGTAAGTGAATGAATGGCCAGCTCAGGCTGAAGACCATTTAACTAGCAGGCCCATCAATAATATCAGCGGCTCGTGCAGCTGACCACAACAGTCAGCAGCTGAGCGGCTGACCACTGGCCAGTGACCAGCTCAGCAACTGACCCGCTGTTGCTGACCACTGACCAGCTGGGCAGCCGGGCGGCTGGCCAGCCAGTAACTGCGCGGGCCGGGCGCGTTGGCGGGGCGGTATGCGGGCGGCGGCGCGCCCATCTCCTGGCCAGGCCGGCCGCTGCCCGCACCCGGTCTGTTTTCCGCTGAGTTATTGCCGTCACTCAGCCGCCGCCTGTCTGCTTACACGAGCTAAAAGCCCGCCGGCGTACGGCACTGTTTGTGTTTACGTACACGGGCCGGGCGAGCCGGTCGGCCGTCACCACAGATAAATTAGCCACTTAGCCACCGTATACAGCAATCTGTAGCAATGTATGACTGATGTTCGCAAATGAGTGGTTTTGTGGCTGTTTTTCGCGCCGCGGCCGAGGCGGCTCTGAAAGAAGCCGTGTGATTTAGATGGTTTGCGAGCGGCGCCGATGGCGTGCCAGGAGAGAATGGCACGCCGCGATGGATGGCACCTATCGGCAACACAAACACTGGCCAGCCGAGCGGCCGCAGCTGATGCACGGCGGTCCGGCCGGCGCCGACGCGACGGTGAAGAATGCCAGACACGCGCCGTCGCTGCCGCCGCCGACGGCGCCGGCCAGCTCCACTTCACGTGGGAAAGAGCTCGCGGCGCGTGCAGGCTGTCGAAGACGGCGGCGACCGGGCGGCGACGTTTTTGTTCAGGCCATCGACTTTTTGTGGGCCGGTCTAATGCGGCGCCGGCGCCGGCGGAGCGCCCCGAGAAAGCCAATGGGTCGGGTGACCGTGGACAGGGCGGGCGCGACGGGCGGCTCCGGGTGAGGGCGGGGGCGGCCGGCGGGGGCGGCCGGCGGGGGCGGCCAGCGGGGGTGGCCGGAACGGACCAGAAGTGCACGACCAGCAGCTCAGACGACACCAGTCGGCGTGCACCGCGCACCAAAGGACGCCGCCGTCCGCCCTGACCCGTCCGTCGGCTGACCCATTCGCGGCAGCACAGTCCTCGGACCACCGCGATTGTCGGGACTCAGGAGTTACATGAGCTGAATTATATTTGACACTGCTGTCGAGATAAGTGCACTGTGCACTGTGCAGTGTGCAGCATAGGGTGCAATGGTGTGCCGGGGTCATTATTATGTGGCATGTGACGTAGCATCCAGGTGGCCTTTAGACCTGCTTTGGTAAATGGCATCCTCCCCTCTTCCGCCATCCCCTTCTCCCCTCTCTCCTCCTTTCCCCAGGTCACCCTCGTGTCCCCATCCCCCACAAAACATGGCGGCCGGGGTGCTCCGCGCGCGGCGGCGGCTCCTATGCAGGCCAGGGTGCAGCCGGCCGCCACGCGGCCGCTATCGGGCCGTCAGATCGGGCCGGCCGGCGCCGCCACGGCCTCATCAAAGGCGGCCCGCCGCCGGACGGCGCGCCACTGCAGCCGCCTCGGATGACGCCGTCCGCCGGCTGACGTCACCGTCCGGTCAGAGCCGGGGTCAGTCGGGGTCAGTCGGGGTCAGCGGAGGTCAGTCGGGGTCACTAATGGGTCAGCGGGAGCTATTGCCGGCCACTGGGTCCACCAGGTCACAGTAGGCTGGTTGGTCGGGGTCACTGCTACATAGGTCAGCGAGGCTGACATAAGAGGTCAGCCGAGGTCGCAATTTGGGTTACAACAGGGGTCACTACTAGGGTCACTATATTGCATCATGGAGGTCATCACCACCACCAGCATACAGACCATTAAAGGCGGGTTAAGTGAAATCGGAAAAAGAGAAATAAATGAATATAAAGGGCACAAAATATACGCTTTGAATACTACTGACCTTACTAAAAGATTTAAAGGACGGGACACGAATAAAAGGACACTGAGGTTCTCACAAACTGTTGCCAAGGAAGTTAGCCATACGGAAGCCAGACAGGCAAGGAACTTCGCTTTGCACAAACAGGTGAAGAGACTATCTAGAAGTTTCAACATAGATATACACACGAAGGAAAAGCGAACAGGATTGGATGAAACTGGACTGAGTGATAGGCGCAAGTCGCAAAGGCTTTGCTGTTTTATATGCGCTTCATGATTGCGGCGGGCCTAAGGGACTGCTGACCAAAGTCGAAACTCGACGCTGATTTCGAACACTGGAGGCATTGTCATTGCCACAGCAGTTGTCAGGGCCAAGGTCAAGTCTCAATGCCAGAGCCACTCGTGGCTGAAACCCTGACTGAAAGCTGGCTTTGATCTGGGGTTCCGTCACATGAACGTGCAAGACGCGGTCATGCAAGACGAAGTCAGCCTTATCAACATCTCTGTTCATGGCTGTGGTCGGCTCACGTCGACATGTGTTCTTCCCTCCCACATGGAGTGTCGAGCTGGTCAGTAGCGTGTAAGCAGGGACGTCGGCTGAGCTTTCAACTCGGGAGACGTCACACTGGCTCACCAAGACGGCAGGACAAGTCAGGAAGGCCGCCGGGCCGTGCCGGGAAGGCCAGGTCATGCGCCGCGCCCGGCTGTGCTGGGGAAGCCGCCGCGCTGGAGAGCGCCGGGAAGCGCCGGGGCCTTGCCGGCCGCCTCCGCGTCTGGCGCGGCGCGGCGCCGCTGCGGACCGTCGCCGGCGGCGCCGCGCTGTCACGGCGGTGTCGCCGGTGTCAGACGGGGTGTCGGTCGTGTGTCACGGTCGGTGGGCAGCCAGGGCGCGGCCGGCCCGCTCGGCTGGGCCCCGTAAACCGTGGCGGCGCTCCGCGGCCGCCGCGCCGGTCCACATTAATATTTATGTGACAGGCAGCGCGGCTTGGTCCGGGGAGCGCCGCCACGACGGACTGTCACGCTGACCGGCCGACAGCGACCCAGGCGCGCCTCCGCCTCCGCAACTAACCTGGACCCCTTACTGCTTCCACCATTGTCCCACCTATACCCTGTCTCTTACTTCTGACCTGATCCTCCTGGCCCCTGCCACCACTCGAGCTGACTTGACTATCCCCTCTAGCGCTTCAATAACCCGACTTCCTTGTGGCCTTTAAACTGATCTGGGCCATCTACGCTGTCCCGTCCCTTTTCCTTTTTTCTTCTCACTGTCACCGGAGCCGCCGCGCCAGTCCCACACCAACCCTAGCTCCACCACCATCACCGCTGCCGCCGCCCCACCACCGCCCCACCACCGCCGCCGCCGCCGCCGCCGCCGCCGCCACCGCCGCCGCGCCGGCCCGGCCGCCAAAGCCGCCTGTTCTGCCGTCCGTCAGTCTGTCACAGCAGAGAGACATGGCAAGGACGCAAGGCCGGGGGTGTTCGGTGCGGACCCGGTCCCAGAGCGAGGGAGGGCTCGCCGCTTAGAAACTGGGTAGAGACGATCACAGTCCAGGAGAACGGAAGGATCGGTAAATATATAGGACTGATGACTGGAACTGCGGACTGAGAGGACTGAGGGCTGTAAGGACTGTGGGCTGTGATGACTGCGGACTGTCAGGACTGGGACTTGAGGACCTGTGACTGGAAATGATTGGTGACCTGCGGGGTTCACTGTCACAGCTGCAGTTGAAAATGCGCACTGCACTGTGCCTCGGCCCTCTGGCATGGCCTGCAAGCTCGGGTACGGTTCATCAGATTGGCCGCAGTGATTTGTTTAATGAAATACGATGTGGGCGTATCTCGGCGGAGGGATGCATTGGAAGTCGCTGGCGACTTCCAATGCATTCCACATTCCACGATAGATCGACCAAAATTTTATCAGATTTACACCCGACCATTTTTGATTTTGATGAAATCTTGTCTACAGGGTTCTCTTATGCCCTGAAGTCAATGGTGACAACGCCAGACCCCTACGGTCAGCGGTTTAGGAGATATAGCCCCGGGCATTTTGACGAGGTCACTCTGCAGAGTGATTTTTGAAGTGCTATATCTCCTAAAGGAATGAAGGAAATGCATTAAACCTTTGCATCGTTGTGATCGTGGTGAAATGGGCAATTAATTGGCCATCTCGGATTTTCAAAAAAATGATTTTGATTTTTAGCTGTGACGTCATCAATTTTTAAACTTTCTGGCTACCCCCCTAGTACATTAAAATTTGCCATTATTTTTGCTCAGAAATAAAGTTCCGTCAATTTCCTTTCTTCTGGGAAAAAACAAAAATGGTAATCTTTCTACAAATATTTTATTTTATTTTTTGAAAATCGCACTACAAACTCTGATTTACAGAATCGGGTTATTAAGCAATATAAGACACATCTGCGAGGACCAGTTACTTCCAAAAAGAGGTTATCTGGGTTTCGGCATATAATATTCTTCTCTTTAACTTCACTTTTGATAACAAAAAAAAAAGAACTTTAATATTACTTGCACAGGAGTCAATATAATGGCAAAATTATACATACTTTTGAGCTGCCACAGCTGCCTTGTTTATCAACGTAGCTCAAATGACCAACCGACAGTCGATTTGCAAAGCATATTTACGAACCGACTAATTATAAACGAACAAAATAATTGGTAGTTTCAGGAAGGCAAAAGGTGGTGTAATGTGACTAGGTATTTTATCAGCGAATCATCATTTTCAACGCTGGATGCAATAAAAGCCATAAACAACGGAGTGCATTTCTATTGCAGTTGCAATAACAGACGGCAAAGCACCAAGACAGGAACGAGATCACGGCCACACAAACACACTTTTTACTTGGAACGTTTCGTCCGAGCATGCATGCTCACGACACGACCCTCATCCGTTGAGAGTTCGTGAACTCTAAGAGATGATACAGTCACAGGTGTAAATCTATGGTAGCGCTGCGTTCCTCTGATTGCAACAGCTTTAGCGAAGCGGGCCTTGAGCATCTGCCTCTTTTCCGCCACTCGGACACTAGGAACGAAAATGAATCGGATAGCTGACCGAAATTGACCAACCAGGTAGCTGTGCAGTGCTTCCACATCCAAAATTTGGTCACTGTAAGGCCGCCTGAGGCTCTCCTGGTACGCTGCTCGCTTAACAGTACCGCCAATGCCATCGCAAGCACCCTTCCCGTGCGAGGTCGCAAAAAAATTCCATTCACACTTCACACCAAAATCCTCCTCATGATGGCAGATATTTACAAAATTGTACCGGTTCTTATACTGGGCTGCACAGCCGTCCGTAAAGTAGTGAACCTTCGTGAGCTGCGGAACAACGCCACGGATCTCTCGAACAACTTCGTCACAAAATACATGCACCATAGCGGGATCATGTTTCCTATCATCCGTGATACAACAAAAGCTCTTATGATGCACTTCGCCCTGGTCCCGCCAGTATGCGACAAAGGGATGTATTGTGCACTGCGAGGTGTCCCAATGGAATCCTTGGGCCTCGTCTTGGACAGTGAAGGAGAAGTTCTCTGAGAAGTCGCCTTGTATGACCACCTCTCCGTCTGGTGCACTGTCCTTGAGCTGCGCGAAATACGCACTCTGAGTATGGGCCCGATAGTGGTGCACTGTCAGCGCTCGTATTTGCCTACATAACAATCTGACACATTCGCCGCGCGTTTCCACTTTCTCGATAAGCGTGCACCTGTCTGTGCTTTCCCACTGCCTGTACCTAACTTCCGCGTCATCGTCGTCTTCTTCGTCGCTGTCATCACCGTCGCTCGTCATGGCTTTCAAGAAACCATATATACCCGCCTCACCAGGACACTCCGTGCACTCATTCATCATGCACTGCCGATTGGTTACATCGCACACACAGTGATTCATGAGGTCATGATAGGTCAGTTTGCCGAGGTCTAAGGCGGCGATGAGAAGTTTGGGGTTTTGGTGATAAGTACATACGCACACGGCATGCGTGCCAGCACTTCCTGCCAACACGCAATTTCTTGGGCGAAGCGCAGCAAAACGAGAAAATCCTATCTTTGGGTTGCTTTGATCTTTTTTGTAAAGTTCATAAATTTCCGTGAGACTGCCAAGGACCAATCGTTTCTGCAACTTCTCCTTTGACCCATCCTTTTTACGAACAGTTACATAGTCTTTCTTGCCTGGTAGCATTCTACTTACTTCGTCCGACTCATAAAATTGCCGAACTTTCATCTGATTGTCCTCGCTGATGCGACGGCCTCTACTGTCGGCGCCGATGTCAGGCAGAACGTAGAAGCCATGTACGTGCTGGCGCCGAAGAACTTCGCCGTCTCGTCGATCCGGTACGGCGAGAGCGTCAGAATAGACAGCCGCTTCTTGTAGTCCGTCGTGGACTGATATGTTTCCTTCAACTCCTGCATCAGCTGTCGATACCTGCCGAAATACCAACTTGTTGAAGCGACTGATTAACTTAACCGGCAGTATCCACGCTGCGCACAGATAGCCTTTTTTATGGATCCACGTAGCCTTCTTTAAATCGATTTTAGGTATATATACGAGCATTCGTAGATATCGTTAACAACATACCCCATGGGTGGAAACTGCCTCAAAGCGGAAAAACTTCTGCGTCGTCGATTTCAGATACATTGCCCATATTTTTGCTCCCCGGAAAGAATTGCACATGCACGAACTTACATATACCCAGATCATCCTCATTTGCGGATGTGATCATAGTCAATCGAAATATAAAGGTTATTATTATTTGCAAGTTAAACTCTTTCTGTCGATTCCATGATCAAAAATCGCTAACCAGAACTAAACGTCGCCATAAACGCCTGACTCCATATTTTTCTCACCGGGCTAATTCGTCGTCGTCAGCAGCTTTCCGTCTCTTGGCAGGCGTTCCTTCAGGCGTCGGGATGTCCGTCTGCAAAGCACGCTGAAACTTCCGCTTCAGCGACGTTGACGCCCTTTTCAGCTTTTCAGACGCAGAACCACGCTTCTCCGGCTCGTTTTTTCCTTCTGTAAAGGTCATAATGGAGCCGTTATTTTCTGAGCTTTGCTACACGTGAAAGAAATATGACTTCTTTTCAGCATAGATATCAACTGCCGAAGCTCAACTTCGTCTCAATACAGGTCAGATTTCACACACACACACACACACACACGCACGCACGCACGCACGCGCACACGCACACGCACACACACACACACACACACACACACACACACACACACACACACACACACACACACACACACACACACACACACACACACTCACACACACACTTGTTTTTTTAGCGCTGGTGAAACTAGTTACACACGCTGGGAAGAAAAAAGGTAAGAAATTTTTTACTTACTTGTCGTTAGAGGAGATACGCCAAGAAGAGGGAGCACGTCTTCCGTGATTTGTCGGTTGACCTCCACCTCAGAGAGTGATGTGTCTGCCGATGGTGCTGAATGATCTTCATCTTGACTTCCAGAATCACTTTGGGGCTGTGACACCAAACTTTCCTCCACGGGTAAACTTTTTGGTCGTTTTGTCAGCCTGACCTTACAATCTATACACAGGTAGTCGCCTTCCTTTAGCCGCGGATCGTTCACCTGATCGATCAAACTCTTGCTTGCAAGCCGAACCTGTCGGCTTATTTTTCTTTTGTGACGCTTGAATGGGTCAGCACAATAATTCCTGGTCATGGCGCAGTCTTCAGACCGTCTCTGGCACAGCCCTTCACCAGACTGACACGCAAATTGCTTGCGTCTCCGATGATAACGTCTTTGTCTGGCGGATCGTGTGGGCTGTGGACCGACGCGCCGGGGGAGGGGTGTTTGTCACGGAGCGATACCGACCAGGCGGTGTAGTGTTCCCCCATTGTTTGTTCACAGCGGGTGGGTCGCAACTAGGGCACAATTGTATCACAGTAACTCGGACTCAGCTTCAAGGGTTTTCCCCTTGATCGTCTGCACTCATTACTATAAACAAACTACATTGTTTTACGTTATTGTAACGCTCGATCAATTTAAATCATACTTTTGGGAAATACAGAATGTTAAATTAAAATATCTTACGCTTTGTTCCAGTTGCGAAAAATATTCAAGAAAATATTATTTAGGTGTTTTATAAATCCAGTCCTTCCACTGTCCGTGCCAGCTGCACCTATTTGTCGTTTCAGAGCAAATGTATGCAAATTTCATATTACAGAGTTGTTTTCAAAAAATAAAATAAAATATTTATAGAAAGATTACCATTTTTATTTTTTGACAGTCAAAAGAAACTTGACCGATCTATATTTCTGAGCAAAAATAATGACAAATTTTAATGTACTAGGGGGGTAGCCAGAAAATTTAAAAATTGATGACGTCACAGCTAAAAATCAAAATAACTTTTTTGGAAATCCGAGATAGCCAATAAATTGCTCATTTCACCGCCATCACAACGATGTACAGGTTTTATGCATTTCCTTCATTACTTTAGGAGATATAGCACCTCAAAAATCACTCTGCAGAGTGACCTCGTCAAAATGCCCGGGGCTATATCTCCTAAACCGCTGACCGTAGGGGCCTGGCGTTGTCACCATTGACTTCAGGGCATAAGAGAACCCTATAGACAAGATTTCATCAAAATCAAAAATGGTCGGGTGTTAGGCCTTGGTCGATCTATCGTGGAATGCCCCGCCAGTGGCCGCGCGGGCGACAGAGTTGGTATTTGTCCACCCTGACCCTGCACTGACAGTGTGTTTGGATAGCATTCGGCCCACACCGAATCTCGACTGTCCCGTATAAGGGCTGGATAAGCGCTGTGAGAACGTGTACCGAACCTCCTTAAGCATGTACTGAGCTTGTTCTGGCCTCTGTCCAGCCTATGTTAGGTGTCCGTCTCCAGGCATGACTTGGGCTGACCACCCCGAGGATGAGGTCTTCCCAAACAAAACGACGCATGCCCGACCTCAATCAATAAGGCATGAGAGAATATTCAGCGCTCCTGCATAAGTTCGCGTCGAACCGCACATATTTTTTATTCCGCGTCACCGGTCGCGATTTGGTTAGCGATAATAGTCAGATCCGGTCAGCTAAACGCCAGCCGAGCTCACCGTCAGCCGTCAGGACGGTGCCGATATAACGCTGCAGTCTAGTTTTGAATGCGTCGAGGCCTGTCCCATTGTGTGCTCGGCGCTGCAGTCCCGCCTGGCCCGGCCGGTATTTGGCGGCAGTGCCGGATGTTTTGTCACTGTAATCCCGTCCAACGGCGCGTGTCGCTGCCAATAGACCTGTCCGGTCGCCAGGCGCCCTGCTCCGTTCCCAGGCCTCGGCACGGAACACGGGCCGGAGCACGGGCCGTGCCACCCGCGGCACGGGTCTCTGACGTCACGCTGTCAGCGCGCCTCAGCCTCCTGGCAGGTGTGACCGGCCACCCCGAGTCAATAAACACCACAAAGTGGCTTTTAACTCGACTGAGCAGCCTGTTCCACAAACAGCGCACCCGGCGACTGCCTGGGCGGGAGCCACGGGAGGCGGGGGGAGGGGAGGGGAGGGACAGTCAGCAGAGAGGAGGCAAATAGAGCACCCATCGCGGCGAGGAACAGGGAGGACAGGTAGAGAGAGGGAAAGGAAGACAGAAAGGGGGAGAGGAGACCAAACACAGTTCAGACGAGTGACGCAAAATTCTTGGATTGGGACGGGATTAGTTAGCCGTGGCGCCAGGTTGTTGGACAATATTTGAAGGGAGATAGAAGTTATGGTATCACTCAATACCATAACTTCTGATACCATAACTTCCCATCAGTCAAACTTCTCAATAAGTCTTCTTCCCAGGCAATAAAAAAGAATTACCTAACATCGCGATCTGTTAGGACAGAGCAGGCCAATCTGAAGGACAGGACATCCTCTCCTCACAGTTGTGAAGGACAGACGGCAGGCGGCGGGCGGGCGGCGGCGGCGGCGGCGGACCCGGTCGCCGGCCGGCCGATGCCTCGATCTGATCAGAGCGGCCGATAGACGCTGTTTGTGAGTGGTACCGGCCGCGTAAAGAAGTCATTAGGTGATATTGGCCGGTGGGCCGGCCGGTGGGCCGAGCGGCGCCGGCCGGGCGGCAGTCGGGCCGCGATCGGGTCCGATACGGGGCCGAGTCGAGCCGATCATCGGGCCGACACCGGGCGCCGCCCTGCCTGCCGCCCACCTACGCCCCATCGCAAACAAACGCGACCGCCCCGGGTCGCCAGGAAGAGGCCGGTCGGCTCCGGTGTCCATTGCAAAAAACGAGCCCGATCGAAGCGCGGCGTGCGCGCGCCGAGCATAGCAATGGCGCGTCTCAACATCAATCATTCCGGCGAGGAGGCGGCAGCGGCGGCGGCGGCGGCGGCGGCGGCGGGGCGGCGGTCCTACCTGCAGCCGCCACCGCCGGCGGGGGGTCAGAGAGGACGGGGGGGGGAGGCCGCCGGTGACCGTATCGCCGCCATCATCGCAGCCGTCGCCGAACGCGGCGCGGTCGACAAATTGCGGCACGTTTTTCTGGCCGCGCGCCGTGAGCCGTCGTTGCGGGCCCGGCAGCTGTCAAAGCACAGCACCACTTGACAAATGACCCCCGATACTAGCCGGACATAATGAGAGCTTATCGCCGCTCGCCGACCGGTAGGGCGTCCGCATGATTAAACGCCATTGAGGATTCGACCTTACGGATATAGACGTAGAACATGAGCCGGCGGGCGGGTGCGCGCGCGGTGTCGGCCCATTGATCTGAGGTCATGTACGGATCGTGACGGCCGCGACACAGGTTATATGACAGCAACCTGCTCATGAATACATCTGACACTACAGAGATGACCATAATAGGACGCACCTATAGTGGCGGCGCCGTCATTCATGATGAATCCTGGCGATTCATGAAGTGATAGATGAGCTGCGGTAGCTAAATGCCAATATCGAGTTGCAGAAATATGCAATCGGATGCATTTAGCTAATTTTGTGTTTTGTTGAGCATTAAAATTTATTTGCACCGCAGCAACATCAATGGTAACCAGATGGCGGTGGTAAACATGGTAAACAGATTTTGAGTTAAACTTTATGTCAACTCAAAATTATTCGATTGCCAGTTAAAAGCAAGATCGGCAATGTCACAAGGCTCATTCTTTCGGGTCGTAATTATTTCAAAAACACCTTCTAATGACGTCACTCGGGGTGTCGTCCTTGAGCTTAGTGCGGCCATCGCGTCAGGGAGGCCGAGCTAAAATTATCACCATTTCCTAATGACGCACGTCAATGAACTTTAATCACCGGACCAGTCGGTCGCACCTGCGCAACAGACATGTCCCGCCGTGATCGAGGGATTCCCGTGAATTCAGAAAGAGTCACCAAGTACCTAAGTTAGGAACCAAAACCTGTGACTGCGAGCACACTGGAAGTGTATCCGTCATATGACACACGGTGTCATCCGAGAACTTCGGCCATGGTGCAGTAAGATGAGGGCCGGGAGAGGTAGAGTTGCCGCTGTCCTGTGCACTCAGTACTCACGTCCAGCTTCGACGAAGCGGACATGGCCCTGCCTTGAAAGTGTAAAACGCACTTACAGAGCGCTAGAAAATTTAGCAGCGGATCCATAAAGTGGGCGTGATGATTGTGGGAAAATTGGACATAAAATCGAATTGCTTATTTAGGTATTATTTTCCTCATATTGTTTCATATAACAAAATCAACACAAATTACTATTCGGAAAGCGAAACTTTCTCTCGCCCTTCTCTGAAAAGACCGCAGCATACTTTTCATCCCTCGCCGCGGGTCATTTGAGTCGCCCTAGTCATAGATCCATACATCCCTGTCATACTGACTTAAAAGTCACCGTCCAGCACAAGAAGAAGATCTATTCTGCTCTCCTCTACACCTTCCAGCCAACTAACTCACAATCCCCCTCCTGGCACATCCACAGCTCGCAGACACACATCTCACATCATCACCAACCAATCGCGCTGTCATACGTCATATATCTCACATCATAACCAGCCAATCATGCTCCCATACGTCATGCCCGGCCCAGCTACTTGCAGGGTGTAACTCGGCCCTGCCGGCATCAGATGCCGGCGGCTATGACCAACGCTGGGTCACCGGTTCACAGCTCGACGCTGAAGCTGACTCACACTTATACGGCTCACATTCATCCTTGCGTCACGCTACATCACCCCCTGGTTCTGAAGAACCACATTACTCTACATGTTACATGTCATTCAATCAACGCATCAACTACATCCTCTGGCACACCATCGCCATATCTTTCCGGCTCTCTTCGAACACGCGTACCACGCCGCAGCGTCGCAGGCACGAACGTTTCACTCTCGTCTGCGGACACATCGGACCCGGTCGGTGGATCGGGGTCCGGGGACTGAGCGACGCTGGGCGGCCGCGTGTCCGACTCCGTCACATCACTCGGAGCTGGCGACACACACACGCCATCACACTCGCTGTCATCAGACCACTCCACCGTTGGCGCTCGCAGAGCCCCTGGCCTCGGACATTCAGGGACGGTCAACCGATGTCGGAGGTTTCGCACATGTCGTGGGACATTATCGACTTCGATTGTCTGGGCCGAAACGACGCCTGTCACAATACCCTCGTCTGACTTTACAAAACATCGGTCGCCCCGCCGCCGAACCCACACCTTGTCCCCTACCTGGTATACACCGGGTTTCTTCAGCGGCAGGGCGTCACCAGGCTCGTCTGAGGTTCTGCGGGGCGTCACGTCAACGTCTCGGCCAGGGTGTCGAAGCACCCCGTTGATTGGAGCTGTGGCCGGGTCACTGCCATCCTTCGGTGTAACGTTGTATCGATGGACTGCTTCAGCAACGGAGCAGGACTGCCGGGCCACCATCACTTTGATGGTACGATGATGGCGCTCGACGATGCCGTTCCCGCCGGGCTCGTAGGCAGCGCGGAACCGGATGGATACGTCCCAGCGAGCCGCGAACGCTAACATGACCCGGCCACGGAACTCTGTCGCATTGTCCGTGAGTATTTCCGCCGGGGCTCCACGCTCTAGAAACACGTTCTCCAGCTCACTCACAATCTCCAGAGCTCCTGCCCGGCGAAGCCGTCGCCATATGGCGTACCTCGACGGCCCGCAGTCCACCAGCGTCAGGTATGGGTGGCCGTGCACGTGGGTGACATCCATGGCCAGGCGATCCCACGTGCGTTCTGTTCCGAGTGACCCACCGGGCCAGCGCTCCGGCGCCGGGTCAATCGAGGCACACGTCTGGCATCGTCTGACCACGTCTCGCACAGCTGGTTTTGACACCCGCCTCACCCCCAGCTCACGTCGGGCGTACCACAACGTTCTCCTCACTCCTTGGTGACCGATGTTTTCGTGGATGGTGCGGATGTCACTCGCTGAGGCACTTGTGATGGCAGCGACAGCCACCGGTTGTGCTTTAGACGAATCAGTGGTTGGCTGGTCGGCAGTCTGCAGCCAGGCGTTGGGCACCCGCGTCACCTCATCAGCACGGTTGACCGCTGACGCGACCAGCTCGATAGTGACCTCCAGTTCGTACTCGATGACGAGCTGACGGAAAACAGCCACGCGCCGTCGGATAAGCATTTCGGACTGCGCCTTGGTTCGCAGCCTTGCCTTACCCGACAGCGCGTCACTCAGCCAGCGGTGCACCGTCACCGAGTCTGTCCGGAGCGTCAGGCGACGGAAGCCCCATGCTACCGCCAGGTTGACACCGTTGAGAGCGGCATCCAGTTCTGAGATATTGATGTGCACGTCCCTCTCCGATTCGGCACGCAGCCAGGACGCGTCCTCGATGATGGCGCCCGTGTCAGGGTCAGTGAGCACGACACCGCGGGCGATGGAGCTGGCGTCGGTCCACACCACGACGCTCGTCCCTGTCACACACCACTGGCCGCGTGCCGGGTCACATGCTCGAAACCGCCGTGACACCTCATCCACCTCACGTTGTAGTTCCTCGCTGACGATCGGAGTGTCCCAGTCCGGGCTGAGGCGGTTGGCAGTCCGCTTCATCCATGCAGCGGCCGGCCGCAGCCAGCCTGCGACCGGCACATGAGATGTCAGCTGGCCGGTCCACGCGAAGACAGATCGCCGCGTTAGCACGGGTGGAGCCTGCGTTGGTGACTCCCCGTCCCTACTCCACTGGAGTGCCGGCCCGTCGCTCTCGGCGACACGAAGGCCCAGCATACGTGCACCGGTCGCGACCCGCTCCGGCGGCTTGCATGTGAGCCCGAATCGAGCGAAGTGCTCGGCAACCTCATCAGCCGAGACCACCGCTTCGTTGACCAGCAGATCATCGGCGTAAGGCAGCACTGCCTCTGCCAACCCGGGGCTCTGTGCGAGCACCTTCCTGACCACAGCCTTCATGATCAGAGGCGCGATACTGAGCCCAAAGCCGACCCTGGTCAGGCAGTACCGCCGCCCTTGCACGATGACTGTCTGGTACGGCCACAGGGCCGGGTCCACGCGAAGCTGAAGAAAAGCTTTCTTCAGATCCAGGACAGCGACCCGGCGTCCGTGACGTCGCCACCTTCGCAGCTCTTCCACGCAGACGTCAGCGTCGGCTGTGTGACGTGTCAGGTGTTGATTGAGTTCCCGATAATCTAACACCGGCCGCACCTTGTCCTTCGCTGCCTGAGTAACCACCATCAACGGGATCAATCCCTGTGCGGGACCGTACATCGTCTCATCGTATTCGCGCAGCCAGCCCTCACTAATCCACAGCGCCAGCTCTGCATCGAATTTTTCACGCGCACAACTCGGCACACCGTACTGAGCTATCGAGTTTCCAAGCGGGGGCGGAGCCACGCCACCGGCCCATTTCCAACGGACTGTCCACACATCATCGAACACAGCCGTGAAGTCAGTCTCGTCAATCCTTAGCTCTGGCTCCGTGTCGACCGCTCGACACACCTCCCGCTCCGGCGGGACCTCACGCTGCACCACAGCAGCCGTGTCGACCGCACGACACACCTCCCGCTCCGGCGGGGCCTCACGCTGCACCACAGTAGCCGTGTCGACCGCTCGACACACCTCCCGCTCCGGCGGGACCTCACGCTGCACCACAGCAGCCGTGTCAACCGCTCGACACACCTCCCGCTCCGGCGGGGCCTCACGCTGCACCACAGCAGCCGTGTCGACCGCTCGACACACCTCCCGCTCCGGCGGGGCCTCACGCTGCACCACAGCAGCCGTGTCGACGCTCGCAACTGGGTTGTCGCTCCCGAAGCGAACGGATCCTCCACTTACACTCACGCCCTGCAGGGCGTCAATGCCGGTCATGCCCAGCAACACGTCTACGCCCAGCAACCGGGCCGGTACGACGACCGCCCGCACACTCACTGTCGCCCCGCGCACTCCAAGGCTGACCACAGCCCGCCCACAGCACAGCACCGGGCTGTCGTTGACAGCGACCAAGCTGGCGTCACTCCGCTCCCAGCAGGACACCATGCCCTTCCACACCACTGTCTCGCTGCACCCTGTGTCGACGAGTGCTCGGCACTTGCGCCCATTTACATTGATGTCGATGATGGGGGCTCTTGGGTCACTGCGGCAGCTGGCGACGGCGGAGCCCGTGGCGCTGATGTAGCGCCGTCGCCGTGCCCGTTTGGGCAGAGCCGGGCGATGTGGCCTACCTGGTTACAGGTCCAACACCGCAGTGGTGGACGGCGACCCGTCCCTCTGGCTCCCCGCTGCTGCTGTACATATGATGGCGGCGGCTGGACGACAGCCACCGATGCAGTCGCTCTCTCCCTGGCCGCCATCGCCAACGTTGACCTAGCGACGGCGACGGCTCGCTCCAAGGAGAGAGTTTCATCTCCAGCACTGTTACGTATTGTTAGCCGCACCTCCGGCGGCAGACCTTGCAGGAAGTGCGTCGTCATCACTTCGTTGGACACTGAACCTATGAGGGATATCAGCCGCTTGACTGATCCCAGGTAGGCATCCACAGACTCGCCCGGTTGTAGACGTCGGTGATACAGCTCATACATAGCCGCGTCGGGTCCCAATGCAAATGCACGATGCAGTTTTTGGCGGACGATTGCAGCATCCCGCTGCTCGGTGGAGGAGAGGGTGGCCCACACCTCGTACGCCTGGTCCCTCAGGCGTGTGGGTATGACAGCGGCCAGTGACACACGACGCAGGGCACACAGCTGTGTCGCCTGCTCCAGCCATCTGACGACGTCACCGCTGCCGTCGAACTCCGGTATTGCCCGCAGATCGAATGCAGGCGCAGGAAACTCTGGTTCCATGGTATTGGTACCAGCTACCGGTGCACCACTGCCCTCTTCTACGTCAGACATAATCACAACACTTAGTCGAGAAGGCCGAAATAGCTTGTCATACTGACTTAAAAGTCACCGTCCAGCACAAGAAGAAGATCTATTCTGCTCTCCTCTACACCTTCCAGCCAACTAACTCACAATCCCCCTCCTGGCACATCCACAGCTCGCAGACACACATCTCACATCATCACCAACCAATCGCGCTGTCATACGTCATATATCTCACATCATAACCAGCCAATCATGCTCCCATACGTCATGCCCGGCCCAGCTACTTGCAGGGTGTAACTCGGCCCTGCCGGCATCAGATGCCGGCGGCTATGACCAACGCTGGGTCACCGGTTCACAGCTCGACGCTGAAGCTGACTCACACTTATACGGCTCACATTCATCCTTGCGTCACGCTACAATCCCCAAACGCTGCGTCAGCCACCCACCGCCGCTGACCACTGCCCCCCCCCCCTGACCCCCTCCCCCCGTCCGGTCGGACCACCGGCGGTGGCGGTCGGACGACAGACACCGGACCTGTCTCGACATCACCGCGACACCGTCGCCGGTCACGTCATCCCAGCCGACGCAGCGTACCGAGAGGTGGACGGACGCGTCTTCCTGGTCATCACCTAGCACCGAGCGGCTCGGCAGTACCGGCGCTACGTGGCCTAATGAGGTTTGTTGATGAATTGAAAGATGAAGACCTCAGTGAAGGTAACAATAAACGTTGAGGAGCGCCTGGCACTGGCAGTCACCTGACTAAGGAGCGCCTGGCATGCTGGTACTGTAACTCACCTGACTGAGGAACGCCTGGTACTGGTATTCACGTGACTGAGGAGCGCCTGGCACTGGTATTGTTACTGGCACTGGCACTGGTACTGGTAATAGCACTGGCACTCTTACCAACCTGACTGAGGAGCGCCTGGTACTGGTACTGGTTATAGTACTCACCTGACTGAGAAGGGCCTGGTATTGGTACTATGGTAGTATGGTACTCACCTGACTGAGGAGCGCCTGGTACGGGTACTCACCTGACTAAGGAGCGCCTGGTACTGCGGCGTGCGTGCCTGGTACTGGTACTCACCTGACTGAGGAGCGCCTGGTACTGCGGCGTGCCCGGGTCGATGTCACCCTGCAGGGCGTACTCGTGCAGCGCCTTCCAGGGCGGCTGGTAGCTGGTGATGTCCACACCGCCCAGGCCGGCCGGGTCCAGAGGAGCCGCCGAGTCGTGTCGGACCGGCGAGCTGGCCACCATGTGGATCCCCTGGATGGGCAGCATGCTGCTCAGACGGCGGCCGTCCTGCGAGAGGGACGGGGACACTCCGTCAGAACGCTCGCGCTGTAGAGTCAAGTACACGTACTCAGACATCTGGATTGGACATGGCACGCATGACATACCTACAGTCACAGATGTGATGCTACAGTGCAGGTTACAAAGAAAAAAGTATAAAAGATACCAAATCTTATTAGCACTATGATAAAGTGATTCACAGGTAAAGACGAAAAATATAATGGTGGAAATTTGTGGGGAAAAAATGTTATAAAAGTCCACCAAGCTACCAAATGTTTAACCCTCGCCCTGACAGGGCATTTTTCATAACACGGCCTGGCAGGGGGGGTCGATGCGACCCCCCCCCCTCGCGATTGGCTCCTATGGCACCTAGAAACACCAAATTTGGTAGGTAGGTGGCCCCCCTGAAGTTCTCGCCCCTGTGCAAATTTGGTTGCTCTAGGTCAATATTTAGGGGGGTTTTGGGGGTATAAATGTAAAAATTTCGCTAAAAACAGGTCAAAAGTTTTTCGCTTATAAAGTTATAACTTTTGATCTAATTAGGATACAGCAAAAAAAAAGCACCAGTGAACTCAGCACGTCAAGGCGCGTCGAATGATATACTTTTTAGCTTGCTTAAGTGTACTTAAAGTTTTTCTTAAATTTTAAGTAAACTTAAATTAATAAATTAAGTTCAAGTTAACCAAATTGCGTCATATCGTATATCATTCGATTCGGCTGATCACCAGGAACACAATGATACCATTTTTAAGCTCTAGCGTCATTATGTGCCAAGTTATTGGCAAAAACGTCATTTGACCTCAGTTGACCTCATTTGACCTGACCCATGGATAAGTACACCAAACAAAGAAGCACCAAGTGACCTGCTGTTAAGTACTGTGGTTTCAAAGCACAAAAATGATAGAACGAAGCGGATATCTCCAGTATTTTCCGAATTTAGTATTTTCCCATAGGCTTAACATTACGACGTAATGACCTCTAACTGACCTTAGGTCAGTGACCTCAAAAAAACCCGAACTATATGTTATACAACTCGGTGAACTTAGCACGTCCTGAAAGTTTGAAGGAAATCAGTGAAAAACTGTGAGTTGGACAGGTGCAAAAATAAAATTGAAATTTGACCATGACCTTGTACCGGTTTTTCTGACCTGGTGACCTGACCCAAGGTCACCCGGACCTGAAATTTTCAGGTCATATGTAAAAAGGTTGCCCCATAGGCTGTGCCAAATTTGGGCACGTTTTTACGCTATCTTCGAAAAACCTTAGGGGGGGGGGGGTCGCATCGACCCCCCCCCCTGCCAGGGCGAGGGTTAAATAACAAGGTTCTGAAATTTCAACGCGCTCAGTCCAATCGCACCGTAGAAGTAATTACGTAATGACCAATCACACTTCAAGATCGACGGGACTATCGACCAGGCAACTGGCGATCCCAGTCACCCGTCCTGGCGACCCAGCCGGACAATCCCTGACCTCTCGTCGTCCCACGCGCGGACCACACACCACTGCAGTCGCACCGCATGGAGAAACCCACCCGAATGCAACCATCTTAATTATGCCCGGGCCGCGGTGTGCCGTGCCGGTCGGCGGCGTCCCTCAGCGGCCTCCGATGCCGCCAGTCAAATCAATCAATCAGCGGCGGGCCGGGTGGCGCCAGCCCGCCGCCGCGGCCGGCGACACTGGACGGAGCCGCGGCGCCCGGCCGCCGCCGCGGGCCAAAGGGCGCCGCGCGTCGCCGCGCGGTCCTTTGATGTGGCTCAGGTGGCGGCCGGTGGGCCGCGCCCAGCCGGGCGTGGATCGTTACTCGTGATTCGTGGGCCGCGCTGGACGCTCTGAGGATGCCGTGTTGTCCCGCGGGTGTTGTGATTTGAAATTCACAATGGTTGTGGGGGAGACAATTTGGTAACTGAAGCAAGCGACTGTTGTGACTGTAGCGACTGTGACTTTGTGTCTGTGGTGACGGGTCATTATGCGACGTTGGGTGGGCTGTGACACTCTGTCTCCACGGCCGCCGGCAGCGCTGCAGTGCCCGGCCGGTATCAGCGGCGGCGCCTGGTCGGCCATGCTGACCATATTGACCATCGCTCGGTCAGTGCACCGCCCGAGCGTGCCGCGTGATAGCGCCGCTCCGGCACCGAGCACGAGCCTTTGGTAGGCCGCCGCCGCCACTTCATACACTAACATTAGTCGGCGATAGGTCGCCATGGCGCCGATAAGATTAGCACCCGCCGGCAAAAGCGCCGCCGGTGGCCGCCGATGCGCCGTTTTTGCCGACGGCCGCCGACGTGGCGCGTGCGGCCTGAGAAGTGGCGCTGCAGCTGGGCGGCGGCATCCACGGCGCGGCGGCGGCAGTTGTGACAGGCCACCGGCTCGCTGTCACATTTCACGCTCCTGGCTCGCTGGTGGTGCTTTTTTCCGGCACGTCTGTCTCGAGGGGCTGCGAGGGAGCGGGCTCGCAAAACACGGCCGGCAGCGGCAGCGGCGGCGGCGGCGGGCGGCGGAGACGGGCGGCAGCCGCCAGCTGCCACCTGCCCTGCGTCCGTGTCTCGCGGTACGACAACGCTCCGCCCGTCCTCTCAGCGGCCCCGAGTGGGCTCCGTGACGTGTCAGCGCACCGCTGTCGCAGATTAGTCGTGTACCATTGACACTGGGTCGATCGAGTGTGGAATCCCGCGGCGTCTCGTCTCTCTGTGTTTGTCTCTACGTGAGTGGTCCGTGTGTCCCTGTGCGTGTTTGAGTGTGTCGCCAGGAGCTGTCGCCGGATATACTGGGGCCGGGAGCATTTTATGTAGACGGCGAAGGCGGAAGCAACTCAATCCATGGAATTGTTCTGTCCCAATAGGCTATTGATTCTGCATATTACTATATGTCAAGCCACATTGTCATAAATAACAATCTTAATTTTTCCATGATCGTATAAATCATTTAGAAGTTCCAACAAACAAAGTGGTTATTTTTAATCGAGCTGTCTTTTTTTCTGGTCACCCATGACCTCAGATGGACTGGTCAGCCTGGGTATCCCCCTTCTATGGAGGGCACGAGGAAAATCCGTCAATGGCGAAACAAAGACGCCGCCATTCACGCTGCTGTCGGGATATGGTCTACGTCCATCGTCGCTGTCGATCTGCTCCTATGCCCCTCTCCGTCTCTGTCTCCAACCCTCTTTGTCTCTGTTCCGTCCCGTTTCCGTTCCGTAACCGTCTCCCACCGCCGCGCTGGGACCAGAGTACCGGTCATTTTTGGAGCTGGTGGACTTGACGTCAGTCGTCACCTATACCGACGACAAACATACTGACTTCTGAACTGGGTACCTTACTGTGGTACAGGCGCGGATACAAGGGGGGGCCATGGGGGCCATGGCCCCCCCCCCTTGGCCGATTTTTTTATTTTTTCAAAAATAAAATAAAAAGTTAAAAAGCTGAAAAGGGGGCCTCCTGAAAATAAAGTGGCCGAAATCCGATGGTTTTTTTTAACCTACCCACTTAGTTATTTCTCGTTCGTTCATTTATTTCATAATTCGTTTATTCATGTTGAGATGTTGCCTGAACAGCTAGATAAGCTCAATAGACGCAGTTTTTTTGGGGGGGCCCAACAAGTGGGAAGATGGGGCCTCCAACAGGTGGGATTATGGGGGCCTCCTGGTTTCTAATGGCCCCTCCCTTGGAGATTTTCTGGATCCGCCCCTGTAGGGTGGATCACCTGGCTGGCCACCGGTTGCTTTCTACCCCGTGACCCCAAGAAAGCCTCCCAGTCGCAGGCAGAACGCGGAAACGCCTGGTTCCTGTGGATTATCCCGTCCACCCACCTTGTTAGCTTCCTGCATCTGACGAAGGTAGATCTGCCGCTTCTTGTCTTTGCAGCGTTTGTTCTGGAACCAGACCCGGATGACCCGAGGGCTGAGTCCGGTCATTTCGACCATCTGCTCCTTCATGAGCGCGTCCGGCCGCGGGTTGGCGTTGTAGCAGGTGCGCAGCGTGTGCAGCTGCTTCTCGTTGAGCACAGTCCGCACGCGGGTCGTCTTGCCGTCCCGCTTTTTTTGCTCCTTGTCGGCCTTTGGTTGGACGTTCTCTTCACCAGAGTCTGCGGAAAGAACAGGAAGCATGTCATGCAACGTGCGATTTCGTGGTATGTCTCTATACTGAACCCTGGGATAAGGCACCCAAGTTTTAATTAAAAGAGAAGGGGTCGGGCACGGGTCCAGGTCTGTAAGACTGCGAATACATCGCCTGCAAGTGTGCGTTGCGGGCAGTTGTCGCCAAGGCCCTAAATACAGTTGTCGCCATCAATGGGATATTAGAGCGAACTCCGTTGAATGGATGCATGTACAATGTATATTGTAGAAGCTTGCATGTAGGACACATAAGTCACTGGGCTCCGCTAGGCATAGTGTGGTCTGTGAGTACTGAATATTGATCCAATTTAGTCGCGAGTTCGGCATTTCTCGAAAGTTCGAAACGTGTTTTTTTTTAGGACAATGGCTCCTTTCCATATGCATTTTTGCTTTGCTAAAAAACATGTATTAAAAGCTGTCAACAACCAGACGGTCCATTTTTAGTTTGCAATGTTTTTTTTTATAAACGACGATAGTAAATGATTATAATCAGCAGACATGGATCGTTGCTATAATCATGAGCCTGGACCGATGCCGGACATGTATTGTTTACTGGAAATGCAATCAATAGGTGACAAACAGAGGCCCATGGATATAACTCTTAACTCTTAAAGGGACCCTCCCACCTTCAAAAAAGTTAATGAATTGGCACGAAAGTGATGTCGCTCGGTTCAGAAAGAGCGAAAACGAACATCTACCAAATTTCATCGAAAAATATTCACCGGTTTTCAAGATATTAGACTTTTACTTTTGTTTACTTTTTGGGATCTCCGCTGTTCCTAGCGACTTTATTTGAAAGTGCGGCATTTGTTGCGCGCAAAGCAGCATATACCACCGCGTGCTACCAAACGTTTTAGTAAAAGATTTAAAAATCGTTAGATCTCCGCTGACGTCACAAATTCTAAGGGGGCATACCAATGCACTAGCCCCTTAGAATCCGAAAACTGCAAGTTTGAAATTCCATATCTCCGAATTAAAGCATTTGTCGATGTTGTGAGTGCCCAAACCGGTATTTGCAGGCCATGGCCACCAATTTGGCTATCTCAACTCAAAACTAATGTTAAGGTGGGAGTGTCCCTTTAAGGTACTTTGGCTTCATCCTTTTATCATCATTTAACGTTTATAATTTAATATTGCATCTATAATTATGTATCATTATCACAGGAATTTAACCCATTTGTGCCGAATATCTCCACAATAAAATTTTAATCCAACTGTTTCTTCTCAAACAAAACATCCCATTACCTTTAATTATACGCCACCTGCAGTTCAACATACATAATCCATCAATCATTTTCAACCGCACGTTTGATGACATCACGTCAATGAGCGCCCAGCTCATTCAAGACCGCCGCCTTGTCACGAAAGGCGCGGCCATTTTTAACCACATGGCCGCTGGATACGTCAGTTTTAGGCGCTGAGCGCACCGCAGAGTTCACATACGGCCGCCAAAGTGCAGGCAATCGCCACACTCAGTACCGGGCCCGCCCGCCCTGGACATCTTGTCACTGTGCGTAACAACCAGGTGCCACTTCTTTTTATCAAACCCTGCAGGATTTCGTGGAAACTTTGACGTTAGAGATTAATGAAGCGGGTGCACAGTGAGCGTGTTCAGATCGGACTTTGTGGGTCTGATTAGGCAAGACGTCTACTGCGCGACCTTGCGAAAACGGTCATCACTATGTAATCAGCGCAAACTGTTGGGTCGCTTTGAACATGCCGCCTGTGTCTATATATGCTCAGCTGCCTGGCCAAACAGTGACCCAAACACTCATCAGAGTATCGGCGATCGTCTGGGGCGGCAGAAGCGGGATCCGACGGGGGCAGACGGGAGGCGGTGGACGGTGGGAGCTCGCCAGATTTTGGGGCGGAACTAAGTCCCAAGAGCACAGTCCAGCCAAGCAGCACAACACTGCCTGCGCAGAGACCAGCAGTACGGCACATGTATGCCATAATCTACCACCACAAGCAAATGTATTCAGCCTTGCCGATAATATGTTGAGGCTACGTGATTATTGTGTACTGATATATTTTTGAAAATATACCTATATCTAAAATAACCTAAGTGTTTGGTTTAAACATACTCTTAAAATTCATGGCTGCAAATAGCTCTAAACAAGCCCCTACAAAAAGAAGTGTGGCTATATCTCCACCCATAGCTATCCACTGGCATATCTTTGATATACCTACCACTGTATCTCTTATTTCGCATAGCTATCGACTCGTACAGTCTGTCTTAAAAGTACCGCGCAAAGTGACGGTGGATCCATCAAGCCTGACCGATGAAGGACTGCCAAATTTGAGTCACCGAAGCAATGGACATCCTCGTCCATTCCCCAGCTCCATTGGTTCGGTGACTTTCAAATTATAGCAGGCCCTTCCTCGGTCAGGCTTGATGGATCCACCGTCACTTTGCGCGGTACTTTTAACCCTCGCCCGCACATGCCATTTTCCCATCCTAGAACGCACATGGGGTGGGTGGTTGCCACCCCCCCCCCCGCGCCATTTCGTTCCTGTTGGAGATAGAGCTTAGCAGTAAAGACCAAAAAGATTCTTTGGGAAGAGACGAATCCAATGATACCCAGTTTTACCTTCTCAGGTCAGTCATTGACCTTCCAGGTCAGGTCAAACTAAAAAATGTTGCTGTTTTGGGTCACCGTTGGATATCAAGTGCGCTGCTTATCAAATACCGATGACGATGCTGTTTTCTGGTGCCAAGCCAGCTAGAACCTCTTTGTCACACTATCCGACCAGAATTTTGCTGCTGAGGTCATTTCAGGTCAAGTTAGGTCAAGGTCAATTATATGTGTTTGTATGTCTGTGTGTGTCTGTGTGTATACTGATGTGTGCACCGATTGTTTTTGGGTCCATATCACATGAAATCATGATCTGAGAAGCTTTTACCAAAAATGCAGTCAAAAAACTTCACAAAAAGTAAATTCCGCTTGCCTAAAACGCAATTATCTTAGATGACCTAGGTTGACCTTGACCCCTGTACATCGTCGAACAACATGTTCCATGATAGGTGGGAGGTAAGACTGGCAAAAAAGGCCGAAATCAGGGTGCCAAAAGCTCACAAGGCCCATGGCAAACGCAAGATGTTGAGAATTGGCCATTTGGGTCATGACATGACCTGAAAAACAAGGTCATATCTCCGAAACCAAAAATCACAGAAACTTGAAATTTTCAGTGGACATCAGGAAAGGATAGACGAGCAGCTATACGAAAAATCAGCCTTCTAGCTCTAAAAATGTTGAGTGCAGAGCAGAAAGACTGCCTGGGGGGGGTGGCAACCACCCCCCCCCCCCCATGTGCGGGCGAGGGTTAAGACAGACTGTACATCCACCTCCATTCTGTATCCATTCCAAGCACAGCCAGCGGCCAGTGACGTAGCCCCTATAGTCCGGAGGCCGTGTGAACTAGCGATTCCGTGTGGCCGTTATAAACTGCCTCCCGGTCGCCTGTCGTGTCAACTGTCTGTCCACCGTGCACGACGAGGTGCTGCCGGCTGCCCGTACATACATTGATATACCTCGGCTGGCTGAGCCGATCGGGACTGAAGGGGGGGGGGGGCTCAGACAGCTGAGTTATAGCCGCTCAGACAGACACATCGTGAGAAAAATGGCCGCCAATAACAACGATGGCGATGACGTCTTAATTTCTCAGCCGATGTTGGGTTTTGTGTAGCGGAACGAACAAAAATAAAACTACTTGTGAAATTATTATCACAAAACAGTCTGACGAAGTAGCAAAAGAATGAAATCTCTCACAAACGTCACTATGTTTCTTGATTTTATCACGTAAAAAAATTCAAAGCAAAATGTTGAATGAGAGCAGAATTGTGAGAAACAAAAGGCAATTCACGTGAGAATGTCACACCGCTAAAATAATAATGATATAGGAAAACGACGACCGCCCTGGAATCGGAGTGTTCTCAATTACAGCACTGTGGGTCGGCTCCGACCAGTTTCAGTCACTCTTCACCGCTCGAGAGTCGGTCCCGGACTAATAAATTGTGAGGCACTCCGTCGGTTCCAGGTCTTGCCTCCCGGTAGTCCCGTCAGTATGAGCTATCCTGGGGAGTGCCGTTTGGTCACAACGAGTGTGAGCCATTCTGGCGAGGATTGCCATTCAGTTCCAGCGTATGTGAACCTCTATGGTGAATGCCAGTCAGTTCCACAAAGTGCGAACCACTCCGACGAGTGCCGTTCGGTCCCACTGAGTGTGAACCCCTCTGGTGAGTTTCAATCGCTCCCATTGAGTGTGAACCTCTCTGGTGGGTTTCAATCGGTCCCAGTGAGTGTGAACCTCTCTGGTGAGGAGTGCCGTTCGGTTCCGGCCGCGGCGCCCCGAGTGTGGCAGGGCGGCCCGTTTTTGCGCCCAAGGGAGATGGTGGCGTCGATACGGTGCGGAGCGGGCCGGCGGTCGCTCGACCGGCGCCAGACGCCCCGTCAAGATGGATGCCGACCGACGGCCGCATTGACAGATATACCCGGCCGGCGGCGGCGGCGCCGCTCCTCACAGGCGCCGACAGAGCGGCCGGGCCGGCCGGTCCGAACGGGTCCGAACGGCCCGCGGCCATATGACACACACCGGACCATGGAGCTGGGGTGGGGTGTGGCGGGACACCATCGGACACACGCCAGCCGCGGCGGAAACCCGGCTGAGAGCCGAGCCGAGGCGACTTCAGGCGGCTTATTCATCACTGTGAGAATGACCCAAACTGCTCAAGGCAGTAATGAGCGAACTGTGACAGGAAGCCAGCCATCATGACGAGTTAAATCGGAACATTCGATCGCCAGTACCGCAAGGGTAGCTCCACGATGTTGGTCTGCGCGTAGGTACATACCACAGATACCAACCGACTGTTGCGAATAGCCCGAGAACGTTTGCTGTTGACCTTCCTGTGTCAGTCATTGGCATCATCTTGATCTATCCATCAGCTGCATCCAACTGCCCATCAGCCCTCGACCACTGACCATCAGCCGTTGCCCACTGTGCATCATCCACTAGCCGCCAGCCATCAGCGCGCTGATCACCATGTCTATCAGCTGCTGGCAACTGGCCACCATCAGCTGAACGCCTCCTAGCACCGATTTTTGACCATGAGCCACTGTCCATTGGCCAATGCCCACTGGCACTGCCCATCGGATGCTTCCCACTGTTCATCGGCCTCTCCCGCTGGCCCCTAACTGCTGGCCAAGGCCCATCAGCTGTCGGCACAGTTCCTCAGCTACATGGGGCACTAGCTTTACCCACAGAACATCAGCCTCTACCGACTGCCCATCAGCCGGTGACCTCTGCCATCAGCCTCTGAACATGACTGCAGCAACTGGGGACAAGGGTTCATCAGCTGCTCCTCACAGTTCATCAGCCGCTCCTCACAGTTCATCAGCTACTGGCCTCTGTTCATCAGCCTTTGCCGCTGGCCACTAGCCACTGTCCAGCGGCCACACCCACTTGCATTCATCAGCCTCTGCCGTTGGCCACCAAGGCAGTTGTCAGCGCGGAAAGCTCGCGTCACTCTCCTCCCAATTATGCTGCTCACAACATTGAAGCCTGCAGTCCGGCCTCGTCACGACATGCAATGACAGTCACGGGCGTAGGAACGTCATGAAAAGTGGGTGGGCCACCCTGTCAAGGGGCCTCCTTTTCCAGGGGGCCTCCTATTTTCAGGGGCCTCCAACTTTTGCCTCGTCCTGCTGGCTGCTTTCAAGTATGACCTCCAAATCTAGCTTCTGAGATCGGGCAGATGTACCCAGGGGCGTAACCGCTTAAAGGAAATAGTTCACTTTTAACATGGGGTTTTGAACTGGAATAGCAGTTTCGTAGCTTGAGCTGAGACTAGCACAAATCAGGAGCTTTTACGGCTCAACGATCACCCTAGAAGAAGATATTCCATTTCTCGTTCCGAAAAGAGTGCCTTGCAGAGGAATGTGTGCCTTGCACAGGAATGCAGCCACGTCATCGTCAGCCAATCAGCATGCTGCTTACAGCCAATGCAGCATGCGTAGGTTTGAACTACGCAATATGATTGGTCAACGCGCAATAAGCTTCCGCGTCAAACATTATTTTACATAGAATATAGTTCGTCCTATATTAAAATATAGAAAATAATTGTTTTTACAAAAAGGTTTTATTTTATTTTCTGATCATTTTGAGCATAACAAATCATAAATCCATAGCAAAATACTAATTTCAGGGAAGTGAACTGTTTCCTTTAAAGGGACACTCCCACCTTAACATTAGTTTTGAGATGAGATAGCCAAATTGGTGGCCATGGCCTGCAAATACCGGTTTGGGCACTCACAACATCGAAAAATGCTTTAATTCGGAGATATGGAATTTCAAACTTGCAGTTTTCGGATTCTAAGGGGCTAGTGCATTGGTATGCCCCCTTAGAATTTGTGACGTCAGCGGAGATCTAACGATTTTTAAATCTTTTACTAAAACGTTTGGTAGCACGCGGTGGTATATGCTGCTTTGCGCGGAACAAATGCCGCACTTTCAAATAAAGTCGCTAGGAACAGCGGAGATCCCAAAAAGTAAACAAAAGTAAAAGTCTAATATCTTGAAAACCGGTGAATATTTTTCGATGAAATTTGGTAGATATTCGTTTTCGCTCTTCACTGAACCGAGCGACATCACTTTCGTGCCAATTCATTAACTTTTTGAAGGTGGGAGGGTCCCTTTAAGCGAACAGTGCGGAAAGTCCGCATCATTTTTAAAACTTATTCACCCTCCGATTTTTTTTTTTTTTAATCTATTTGCCGCAAACGGCGCATGACCCCTGAAAACCCTTACACAAATGTCTTCCTCGTTTCCCAGGTGCCCCCATTAGCTTCATAGGCGCCCTCTTTGGCATGTAAGCGCCCTATGTATAGTCATCAGAGACATCCCTATATGTCCAACAGTCGCCCCGTTGTCGCATACAATGTGCGCTTATCATAGGCGTCTCTCTTTTATGGACACTTGAAGGCGCCTCTCTTTGCCATGCCGGCGCCCCTGTTTCTTATGAATGCACCCCCATGGCATTGATCAATTGCAATTTGGAGACCTCTATTGCATGTGGACGCCCATATATGTAGGCCTCAGAGGCGCCCCTATGGGCTTCATAGGCGCCCCTCTATTGCACGTAGGTGCCCTACTGTCTCAGAACCGCTCCCCTTTGGCATGCAGACGCCCATCTTTCGTACGGAGGAGCCGCTGTGGTCCTTAGAGACGGCATGGTGCTCCCAGACGCAGATGGAGCTCTCGGAGTCGACAGTGTGGGACCTTCAGTCGCTGATGGGTGCCCGCCAGATGTGGACCCTCGGAGACGCCGGTATGGGGCCCTCAGAGATGCCGGTATGTGGCCCTTTAGAGACACCGGTGTGGAACCATCAGATACTTCAGTGTGAAGCCCTTACAATTGCTGGTGTGGGGCTATGAATGCGCTGGCTTAAATCCCTCAGAGGCCGGTACATGGACATTAGAGCTCAGTGAGAGCTTGTGTGGTGCCTTCAGTGGCCTTGTGGAGCCGTTAGACATCAACATGGTGCTCTCAGGAGCCGGTAAGTCCTCAGAGTCACCGGTGTGGGGCCTTCAGAGCTCCGAGACACTGGTATGGGGCCCTCAGAGGTGTCGGTGTGGGTCCTTCAGATGTACCTATAGAGCCTTGAGATGCACAGGTGTGGTGGCCCACAGAGGCGCCGGTGTGGGGCCCCCAGAGCCACCGATATAGGGCCCTAAGAGACACTAGTATGACCCACAAAGGCGCCGCTGTGTGGCGCTCATAAACACTGGTATGGAGCCATCACAGGCGGATGGAGCCGTTAGAGGCCGGAAAGGGCCCTTCGATGCCTACAAGGAGCCTTCAGAAGCCAGCTTGGCACCCTTATGGGGATAAGCGTGTCTACTTAGGAGCCCTTGAGGTGCTCTCATGAGCTCTGTGGGGCCCTACCGAGCCGAAATATGGCCACGGCCAGTTGCCGCCGCATGGCTCTTCGGACTATCATTCTCAAGGGCCTCATCTGCCTAGTTTGAATAGAAGGGCCTCTCAGACCATCAGTCTCATGGGCCTCCTCTGGCTAGTATAAATAGAAGGGCCTGTTAGACCATCAATCCTAGGGGCCTCCTCTGGTTAGTATAAATAGAAGAGCCTCTCAGACCATTGATCTCAGGGGGCTCCTGTGGACAGTATAAATAAAAGGGCCTCTCAGACCATCAGTCCCGGGGGCCTCCCTAGAAAAGTGTAAATGTGGATAGAGGGCCCCCTCAGATTCATTACGAGTGGACCTCTCTGACTTATCAGTCTCAGGGGCCTCTTGTGGCCAGTATGCATATAAGAGCCTCTCAGACCATCGGTCTCAGGGGCCTCTTCTGCCTAGTGTGGATAGAGGGCCTCCCAGACCACCGGTTTCAGGGGCCTCCAGTGGCCAGTTATATGAACAGAAGGGCCTCACAGCCATCAGCCTCGGGGGCCTCTTCTGACTGGTGTGAATATGAGGGCCTCTCATACCATCAGTCTCAGGGGCCTCCTCTGCCTAGTGTGAATATAAGGGCTTCCCAGGCCATCAGTCTCAGGGGACTCTTCTGACTGGTGCCGGATTGAGGGACCTCACAGACCGAAAGTTTTGGGGGTCTCCTGTGGCCAGTATGAATAGAAGGGCCTCTCAGTCCATCAGTATCATGGGCCTCTTCTGCCTGGTGTGATTATAAGGGCCTCTCAGGTCATCAGTCTCAGGGGCCTCCTCTGACTACAGTGTAGATGGATAGGCCTCCCAGACATCAGTCTCAGGGGCCTCTTCTGACTATTGAGGATAGAGGGGCCTCCTCTGACTAGTGAAGGTAGGGGGCCTCGGCTAGACCGCCAGTGTCAGGGGCCTATTCTGACTAGTGTGGATGGAGGGGCCTCCCAGACCACCAGTCTCAAACCTCTGACTAGTGTAGATAGAGGGGCCTCCCAGACCGCCAGTGTCAGGGGCCTCCCCAGACCAGTGTGGATATTGGGGCCTCCTCAGATCCACTAGGGCCTCTCAGGCCATCAGTCTCAGGGGCTTCGACTGACAAGTATGAACAGAGGGCCTCCTTGGATCCATCACGGCCCCTTGGAGTCCGTGCGTGGGATTCGTGGAACTTATTTTTACCGAGTTTGTTTATTCTGGAAGGTGACGACGTCCTCTCAAATCGAGACGAGGGGCCTCGAGTAAAAAGTGGGTGGGCCAAAACACATGGTTGGCCCCCCCACCTCGAAAAGTGGGTGGGCACTTGCCCACCTGGCCCCCCCCTGTTCCTACGCCTATGATGACAGTTCGTTCGTGTCACGCGGTGCACACTATACCACCGGCTGTGCACGGCGGCTCAACTCACTGCACAGCCGTGCACAGTGCACGCTGCAGTGTGCACAGGCAGCCGGTGCAGTGTATGTAACCTGCCGCGTGTATGTCGTGTGCACTGTGAGGTGCGCGGACCAGGAAGTATCCTAGGGTTCTTAAACGATCCTTTCCTATGGCACGCCAAATAGTTATTCTATATTGGTTCTATCCTATCCTGGTGCATCAGAGAGAGATTGTACATAGTGCTGGCGGTGGGCCCTATTAGGCGACTCATGATAAAGCACAATCGATAGGCGAGCGGTACCTTTATCCCGGTTCAAGCGTTCAGCGTTTGGCACTCACACTCACAAAAGTTCCAATACGTTGTACTCTATACTCGTGGCACTCGGTACTCTGTACTCGGAACTCGGTACTCACCGGCGGGACTCTTGGCTCCCAGTTTGGTGACCCCACCGCCGGCGTCCAGCTGCTCCTTGCAGTCGTAGTCGTCCTTGCAGTAGAGCGCCTCGCTGCGTAGCGCGAACTCGTCGCCAGGCACCAGGTGTTTGGCGCACACGCAGCACCGGAAGCAGTCGATGTGGAAGATCTTGTCGCGCGCCCGCATCACCATGTCGGTGCTGCTGAACAGCTTGTTGCACTTGCTGCACTTGGCGCCGAATAACCTGCCGAAGAGGGAGGAGAAGGCGGTCAGTTCTGGCAGGTCAACGCGCTGGGAGAGGAGCATGGGATGACTGGCAGCAGCGGTCAGCCTAAGCCGTCAAGTTACCGTCAACCACCGTCAAGCTTTGGTTGACGATGGTTAGGCTGGATTTTCACAATTCAGTCAGTGTATACTTTCCGTGAGTTAGGCCATGAGTACTCCCCAATAGTCCGCATATCCATATCTGGGTAAAGCTATAACTGAAAACATAGTTGGACAGTCGGTCAGCCGTTCACCCGTCACTGAACCTACTCATCAGACGCAAATCAGGTGAGCGCGGAACACATCTCTACCCATCTGACAAGGCCCCACTGCCGGGCTGTCCCGCCTCTACCAGATGACCGCGATGGCAGGAGGCGGCGGCGGCGCCCGGGCGGGTGGCGCCACGCCGCCCACCTATCAGCTCACATCGATCCGCGATGGGCTGTTTTTCGTCTGAAGACACGGGGCGTTCTGCCCGCGCCGGCCGGAGCATCGCGTGCCGCTTCTAATCGCCATCCGTCCCCCCACACACACCAATCGACGACCGGGGACTAATATCGGCAATAATCCACGAATCGTGCCAAACTCTTTCATTTGGGGTGGTCTGTCTGCCGGCCGACCATCGCCACGCGGAGTCAGTTTCCGTCCCTCAGTTGCGCCGACTCACGAAAGAAATTAGGCGGGTGCCGACTCACGAAAGAAATTAGGCAGTGGTCTGTGGAATCAGATTAGCAAGGACACGCAAGCAGACTTCTGGAAACAATTGACTAGCTCAGGCTCAGTGTTGACTCTCGAGGGGCTATATACTTTTTCAAAACAAATATATTCTTTCTTTTCATTAAACGTCATCGACCGTGCATGTTCGAGGGTACACATAGTGCAATATATCAAAACTCATAAACGCAAAACATTTCCGTTTTTCATTAAATACCTACAAACAACTGGGATCTGACTCTGAGGTTGCGGCGATGACGGCGTAACAGTAGCCGTTTTCACGACGGCCATCTGTTACACATTTGGTGCACATTTGGTGCAGATTAGGTCAGATTTGGTCAAATTAGGTTCAGTATGTCTCTAGTAGTTGTCAGCTACGGTTGCACTATTGCCTATATGCCTGCTTTGTCATATTATCAGAGAGTATCATCGATTAAAACACTGAAATAAATTCATGAAATAAAGATATTCGCTGTAAAAGAGATAATGTGCAGATTTGGTCAAATTGTGTGCAATCGCCGGATAGCCCGTCGTGAAAACGGCTAATATCACACTTTTTATGGTAACGATCAATGACTATGAAGACGATGGCATTTATTATACTGAAAAGATGGGTACCAAGGCCTAAAACAAGGAATGAATCGTGTCTCGTTCACGTTTTAAACCTAAGGTATTCAAGGTAACATCACATCATTTCTACCCCACCTCAACGTCCGTGCACAAGGCCCTTATTAGAGCCGCCCGTGCTATGTGCCGGTGCATCTTTAACCCGCGCCCTGGTGGGGTCTGTTTATAACGCGACCTGGTGGGGGGGGGGGGCTATTTTTTGCCCCCCTCGTATCTCCGAAACTACTGGACGAATCCGCAAAATTCAAACGGCGTTCGAAAGGCCTGTCAAATTTGTAGAAGGAAACCAAATTTTATTGACCTCGGGGTCACCGATGACGTCACAGGTCAGGTCAAAGATGAAATGTTTCACCGTTCACGGGTCTTCTATGGAATGCGCCATAACACCGAGGAAAACGCATTTTGTCGAGAATCAGCGGCAGGGCGTCAGTTGCCTAGTAGATATGTTGCTATTAGAGGTCACTGGCAATACCAGGTCAGGTCACAGGTCAGGTCACCAAGGGTCACAGGTCAGGTCACATGAGCCCAACTTTACTAAAGTTGTGTGATACATGTTTTATGGTAAATTTTTCATTTCCAACTCAATGGTGCTGGTTATAAGACTATCAGGTACGGCTTAGGTCACTTTCTGGTGAAGTTCAGGTCAAGGTCAGGTCAAGTTCAGGCCAAAAAAGGTCAAATTTTAAAGTTGATAGTTTTGCAAAAAAAATGGGTATTGATTCGATGCAGCTCGTCACGGGGAGTCTAATGGTGGTCTTTGTTTTGCGCTACGGGGTCTAGAATTGCTAAAAAATGAGTTTGAAAATTTGACGTCATCAATTTTGAACAGTTTTTTCGCTATAACTTCGCCAAAAAAGAGAGGTATCAATCTCAAATTTGGTATGTGGATGGAAGGCGGTAAGGACTATCACATATTCCGGTTTTTGCGAAATTCAAAAAACTTTTTGGATTTTTTGATTATTATATCCAAAAAATCTATTTTTTGATTTTTGGGGGTCAAAATCCAAAAATTTCAAAAATACGAGATAGCAGTTTTGTAGCCCTGTCCAATCCACAGCTTTTATGTCTCTATCATTTTTCTGTATTTGCAAAGCTATAGGCCTCATAGCTCTTCCCGCGAAACCCTTTTTTGGGTCGAAAACGGCAGAACATGACGTCACTCTGACGTCATTTCCGGCCAACCTATAATAGCCTTTGGAAAAAAATTTTGGTCACAATGTGTAAAATTGATGTCCGGGAGGGTACTGAAAGTTTGGTGACGATCGGCGCAGCGGTTCTGGAGATATATCGAAAAGTCTGGAGGGGGGGGGCAAAAAATAGCCCCCCCCCACCAGGTCGCGGGTTAACGCCATGTTTGAACCGGGACATCCTTTGACAATAAATACAAATATTAATGAATCTGGCCAATGATAATGAATGGCCATCAGTGTTCGCCACGGGCCGGGCCAGCCCAACGGGCCATGGGCCGGGCTGGGCTACGGGCTGGGCCGGGCCCCCAAATATCATTAGTTAACGGGCTATGGACGGGCCGGGCCAAGAGCTTTGTGCACTATGGGTTTTGCGACTAATGTCAATTTAAGAAAATTTGGAAACTGATGCAAACAAAACCCACTGGGAAAATACAAAAACTAAACCAAATTTAAGCAATGTGAAAGAAAACCTACTTGATATTGAATTTTGGGAATCTTGAGAATTATCCAATATCACATCATGTCACACATAGGAGGGTTTTCATACAAATTCCGCAACCAAAAAGATCAGAGAATCTCTAGCATCATTAGTTTGTTAATAAAAGTTAAAATGTAGCCATCAGAATAACTTACTTAGCACTAAAACTCCAAAAACTAAGAAGCCACTCAACAATGATGGGCTACAGGGCTACATTAAGTTTAACAGTTAACACTTATATATGGCGATAGTGAGACAATTCCAACACAGTCTTTTTTCCTTCACCGACGGCTTTTTAACGAACAGAACCTTAAAAGGATACTCACAAAACACACTGTACGTAACGAGGAACTCTACAGAGTATTTCGCGATGAAAGCTTCTTTAAATGTCCATAAATTTGTCAAAATAAATCACAACAAACCAGCGCCTTCTCAACAAAACTTGCAATCATGGCGGCGGCGCTATGTTTATGTGGCGGCATCTAGGTAGTATACACAACAGTATATCAAATAAATACGTTTTTTTAGTAAGTATCAAGGTGAAAACAAAATTAAACAAATAAAAAATAAAACCTAAATCACGAAGTCTGAAAGCTCGAACGAAAAACAAAACAAAAACTTGATCATATATGTTTTATTATACAGTTGGTCAGGATCGCTACCTGCCGCAGATGCGACAATCAAGAAGTGTTCGCTCATTTTCGATTGAGGATGATGATGCGTAAAAGTCGCAAAAGTACCCAATGAAATTTCAAGCTTACCATGTTTTCTGCTTACGCTGCTAGCGATATCCATATCTTGAAAAGAGCCTAACATAAAATAGCAAGGAAAGTAGCAGATAGTTGTCCACAGAGATTCGGTTGACACGTGGGCATGAATTGAAAATAGATTAAATCAGTTTTGCTGATAAATGGATGGATTTTCTCTTTTTTTGGAAGACAGTGCTTAAGTGAGTGTCACCTTTTTTGTATGCTTTCTCAGGCTTTTGATATTGCAGCATCTATGGAGTGAATTTAACAGCAAGGTCAATCCCAGACAGATTCATCAATTCCCATAAGTCAAGCTTTTTTTCTGCTGGTAAGTGCTGGGAAGCATAGAGTATGTTGCAAATTCTTCCTTCAAGTATGCATTAGAGTCACCAATTATGAATGATAATGTTCACACACATCAGCTTGCAAGATAACTTTACTCATAGAATGTAGTTAATATAATCATGTAAACTTTTTATAGGTGTGTAATCATGACCTAATTGACTGAGGTGCTTGCTGTTACTGTTAAAATTTGTGCCATAGGTGCTTGAAATGATTATATTCATTGAAAAGAAGGGAGTCATGATTGCCATGTTAATATTCATGCAGTTTGAATTGTTCTCAAAATAGTGTAATCAATCATGCTTATTATAGCAATAGACTAAGACAATAACTAGATTGCTATTTTTGACGGGCCGGGCCGGGCTGGGCTTGGAATATTTGCCAAGAGCGGGCTACGGGCTGGGCCGGGCTCTGAACCCATGGGCCCGGGCCGGGCTGGGCTGGGGATTTTGGGGCCCGTGGCGAACACTGATGGCCATAACTTTAGTCGTTGCATACCTGACAATGATCAAAGGTACATAATCGAAATAAATTGCGCTACATGCCTACGGTGACCTATACAAAAAAAAAACAATGATCACATTATTATTTTGTGTTGGTCAAAATAATAATGTAATGCCCCGGCCGAGTTATTTTAAACACGTAGATCAAGAATCCTCCTATGGCTATTTCTTTGATGTCTGTGCAATGTGCATTCACCATTCCTCATCACTTGAAAATACCAGCATATAAGCATCTACAGCCAATATCAATAACCCCTGGTCCTAGCCGTGACCCTTGTTGAGCAGCCGGCTTCAATGACTCTCTGAAAGTGTGCAGTCCGTAGTCGCCGTCAGGGCCGCGGGCCATTTTCCATGCCGATGTTGAATTATGATCAGCGTCGTCACAAGGGTAATGGCTCGGGTAAAAGCTTCTTTTGTCGCGTAATGACGGCCTACGGATGGCCATAGAATGAAGCGGAACGCTCCGGCCGAGTGTGGCCGGACGTAATGACGGTGCCGCTGTGTCACAGGGTACGCTGCGCCGGGCATTACGGCCCTCTGTCAATAGAGGAGCGGCCCTGATTGTGGCCACATCGATCGTGCAACGGTATGGATCACACTGCGACCGGGAGCCAGTGCGAGTTTCTACAGCGGATATTGTTATTAGCCATGGAAAAATGAGCTGCCGAAAGCCGGTGAATCAGAGCAAGGTTCAGACAATATCCTGTCATTGTAAGTAAGACTCCACAAATCTGTAGTTTCATTGTGAGGAAATAGTAATAAACATACAGTACCACCAAATAAACCCCGTCGCTGCCAGCCATACCGTGTTGACCTCTTGGCTCCCAGCTCCACCGTACTAACCTCTTGGCTCCAGGTCTCCAAACTCCAATATAGGTATATGTTTATAAACCTCGTGGCTCCCCGCTCCGCCATACACAAGCCTCGTAGCTCCTAGTTCCATCATATGACCACAGCGGGCACTGCACTAGCTTCCAGCGCCGTCCCAAACACCAAGTGGCTTCCACGACCTACAGACCAAGTAACTTCCAGCTTAGCCTCATAGACATAGACCCCACTCGCTGCCTATCATCCAGGAATGTGTCCAACATCCCTACAGCAATCCCTGTCTGGAGCACACCTGTCTTTCACCGCAACCACCCATGTAGAAATGTGAGGCCCGCGAACGCCTCTGCCAACCACAATAGCTGCTGTCAAGGGGAAGGAGCGACACGCTTAGGTGCCGAGCGTGGCAGGTACACAGGGCTCTGGAGGGAGAGCCTGATGCAACTGGCCAGATGTCAAGGGGTCAAATCGTGGGAAGTAAGACTCCGATGATGGGTCAATGTTTGGGCAGGTTATCGTCACCAATGTCGGGCCTAAGAGGATTTCCGTCATCAGGCGAAATGTGCGAATCGAAATCGGGAAGGTGAAATAGAGAAATATTTACAAGAACCCCTTGACCTCAGCAGCTCCGTTGATTTCAACAATGAAAGAGGCGAGGAATATGAAGAAGCCTGAAGCGAGACGGAACTTTGCGAAAACGGGTTTCATCCCTAGCCCTACCGGCGCCGCTACCTGGCTTATACCTACAGGTGTGCGATCTTTACCAGTAACAGCTCTTTGAAAACGCTGTCAATCGTCTTTTTATAGAACCGTCATATTTTTTCAAGACTTTTCCATTCGCTATTGATCTGAGTGCACTTTATTAAACAGCTTGAACCATCGTCGGCGCACTGGACCAACAAACACAACAGCTTCAGCTCTCTAACAGCAGCTCCAAGCTTCATATCAGACGCATCCTGATTGTCCATCCACGCATCCCCCACATCCCACATGATCCATCCTCTATGGACACTGGACAGTGTCGCACCAAATCCAAGAGCCGTCCCACCTAAATGTGCAGTGTAACTGACGTCTCCGAGTCCCAGAACCGCCCCATGTGACCGCGAGAGTGACCCACCTGACATAGTCCCGCTTGCAGTAGGTCTTGCCGTCGCGGACGAAGCAAGTGCAGTTGTCGTCGAGGAACTGGTTGCACTCGGCGCAGCGGAGGCAGGCGGCGTGCCACTCGAGGTCCGGCGAGACCCGCAGGATGTACTGATCGTGGATGGCACCGCCGCAACCGATACACGTGGACGCCCTCCGGCGGCCTGTAAAGGAGAAACAAATGGTTAGGGCGGGTGCTGGCTCGAGGTGGCTGACGATGCCGCGGTTCATGCCTAATTTGGTGTGTTTTGTTTGTTTTGTTCATTGAATAATCACCAACGGGCTTGCACTCAATGGCAGGTGAAGTCGAACATAGAATTATAAAAACACGCACACACGACACTGACACACTGCAGACACCCTAACGCTCACATGCACGTACAATGTACATGCTACCATTCGGAGGAGGTGTGCACATAGCGTATTTCTATTTAATTAACTCGCATTACATTGCATGTCCTGGCGGAAGGTAATCACAGTCGGCAATCTAAGCAACTTTAAAATATTCTAATTAGTTATTCGCAACGTAAAACTGGATTAGGTAGGTATGGTGCAGAAATTTGTGATGAGTTCTACTGATAAGACATTCACAACTGTGCTTTGTAACTGGTGTGACAAGATGCGGCATTGTAACGCCCGTAACCTGACACTACCAGTAAAATGTGTTTTCAATAACAAAACGGTTCCAGAAATGAGTCTTGGATTTCTTGGCTTTCTTGGCGCTCGGCGTCCGATAAAGTTAGCAAATAAGAACAGAAAAATCCTCAAAATATGTATAAACATGACACTTTCTTTCCTTAATTGAATGGGTAAGCGTTTCAGGGTTATAATCCTTGTTGTTTTGTATTTTTTCGTTATCTAGGTTTTTGAGCTCATTAGACGGCATACTCTAAGGTTTAAACAGAGTTTCTAAAATAATCGTTTAACAGATTTTCGTATTCAAGTAACACTCATCATTCGCCGGTTCGTAGATATTAGCGTCACACGGGCACAGTTTTAATCGTATCATTGGCCTTCCGTCCTTTTCGTGGGGAAGGAAACATTTCGTAAAATGGCACCCACCGCCCGCTCGGTCTCTGTGGCCCGTGGATGCACCATTCCAGTAACTTGGTAGCACGGCTGGGCGCCAAATATTTACAGGCAGGCCGGCGAGCCGTGTCTTGTGAGATTGGCGATTGCTTATAACATGAGATATCGCAGTCACTTCAATGGCGGTGCTGGCTTTCAGATAGCTGAAAACGAAGCGCCAACGAAATGAACTTGATAATGAACATTTTGCCATTTGCTTAACTTGCTGCTTTTGTAACTACCTATGTTCAGTGAAACAATAAGAAAGCTTTCGGTCCAGAAAAAGGTTTAATTAGTGAATTCACACAAAGTTCTCGTTTTTGTATGTATGAAACACGTCAAATTCCTAACTCATATTTACAGCAATACACATACGCATGATTAATGTTAACCTTGCAGTCGCGGTTGACATCTCCCATCCTCACCGTGCTTCGAGTCACATTGTCACTGTTAGAAGGGAGTTCGCATAGTGATGATAAGCGAGGCGACCTGTGACCGTTCCGTGAGCACCACTGCCGCTTCACTCGCACACTGCAGTAGTATTTTCCAGCGCAGCCATGGCCACTGGTGCAGCCATGCTGGTGCCGCGACCAAGTCCGGCACTTTTCCGATGTCCGATCTGGTCGCTAACAAGAGCAAAGCGCACGACATGGTCGTGACAGCATTTTCCGAACATCCAGGAACGCTACAATCCATGTTTTGGCTGGACAATAATAAAACTAACGGCAATAATCCGTGCAATAAGCCGCTGATCTTCGGAGCCATCGTCGCCGGCCGATCGGTACAAGACGCTCCTGGGAGGCCATCTTTTCAGCGGCGTCTGCAGTGCCCGGTCGGCCGTGGCCAAACCGGTATGAGAACCGTGCGCCGCGCGGCCCCGATGCGTATCATTGGCTGTCAGTGAGCGGCGCACGGTGCTACCTTTTCCTCGTGCGAGCCGGTCATGGCGGCAGCGTGCGACAGCCATCGGCCCAGCTGGCCGGCCGGCCGCCGGGCCCTCACGCCGCTATTGTTTGCGGAGCGGAGCTGGTGTATAATTTGGGGCCCAAACGGGTCCTGAGGCGCCGCTTCTTGGAAACGGTTCATAGATGCCATTTATAACAGTCCGCCGCACGCCATGCAATACAAGCAACAAGGCAATCACAGATAGTAATTCGCTACCGAAAGCTGGTAAGCCACAGGCTAACAATGAGCAATCCATCTATCCACAACGGTGAGAGATTTACAATCCGTTGCAAAAAAACCACAGCCGGCATCCTGCAATGTGGCCTCGCCGGCCGGTCCGTCGTCCGGTCGGCCGGTAGGTTGGTCGGTTGAATGCCTGCCCCAACAGGCGTTGAGCTGTCAGACGCACTCTTCAGTACACACCGTTTGTCGTAATCTGTCCTGTACAGTCCGACAGGTCACCGGAACTGGAGTGTACTTCAACTGCAGAGCAACACGTGCCATCGACCGCAAAATGCAGCGCTTTTGGGACACCAGACTTCGGGCGGATTAAAGCAAACGTTACCGACTTGAAATTGGGAAGACTTGCATTCAGGGGAATCGTGATCGCGCAAGCTCCATATCAAATCCTCACGCACATTTCGCAGTCAATATTGAGCCCAAAGAACAAGAGGACGTCTGAATCAAGGCCAACAACAACTTAAACTGCTTTAGCTTTCTAGCGGATTCGGCAGCTATAATGCTAACTAGCACACTCATTTCTTTTCCATTCGGCTAAACCTTAAAACAAAAACTGCGTCAGCCAACTGACCAATAAATGTGTTGACCATTTAATATTTCTCGCATATACCACACCTTCAACACGCCTCATGATGTTCATAACGCTCAGATATACTGCCTCCACTCTCATCTCAAGACCTCGGTGTGCTCGAGATTGCTAGCGAGACGCTCGCAGCTGACGGCCGGCGGTAGTTCCGGCCGGTCGGCTGTGCGGAACATGTTTACACAGAGCATGTTGACCTAGGGCCATGTAAAGTTTCTGCACAAACTGTCAAAGGCCGGCCGCGCTGTCTCCAAGTTTTGGAATCTCCACCAGTCATCATGCTGGAGCATACACTCCGCGACGATAAACTGATGTGAAATCAATAGCCGAGGGCGGTCAGCTGAGACAAAAAAGACAATGTTACGTGCAGTTGCAAAGATGCACCTGTTCAAAGCTTTCGGAATATCATAACAAACATCAGTGCCAATAAGACCTGAAGGAGCCTTTCGGCCATGAGACCCCAAGACGGCAGTGCTAGGCTGGCAGTAGAGGCTGTGATCGGCAGCCATCACACACAGTCCGTGCCGTCGTTGTGCCTGTCTCCAGCACTTACATTTTGCAGTCCATGCTGTCCCACCCGCCTTCAACTACATTCAGCGTGTGACTGTGTCCATTTTTTGTCTCCCGTCTTCCAATCTGAAATGCCGTTCAAAGTATTCTGTCTCGCCTTACCAGTTTACAGTTAGAACTTGTTGTGCCTCTGTGCCCGGTATTGTATCTATTGCGCCTTTTTACCGTGCCCAGCTATGACAGTCTGTCTCTGTGCCCTCCCCTATCCCCAGTTGTGATAGACTGCGTCCCTTTACCATACCCCGTCCCCAGTTGTGACACACTGTGCCCCTTTACCGTCCCCCGTCACCAGTTATGACAGCTTGTGACCAGCTCCGGTCGCCGTACACCATTACTTATCTTGACTTTATTAATTCCATTCCATCCTATTCATTTATCCCCTGTTCGATTACCAGGTGGTTGAGATATTGTTTATTGTTACCGCAGAAGAATGAACATGAATCAAGTGCATTTCATGCATTAAATTCTGTTTAATTTTAGACGGCATCTTGTTACGTCTCATTATCCCCGTTGATCATGGCGGAGTCCCGCCTCTTGCCGAATTCCGGTGATCTATATCCCACGTCGCGATCAAGTCCTCTCCCGACTGTTCCGACAATCATGCCTGAGTGACTGAGTCTGCCCGGTCACTCCCACAAGCATGGCCAATTCCCATAAACCGCGATTCCTCGACACACTTCGATCTTCCCGTGCAGGATTGCTGCGACACAATTCTCCGTCTTCCATATTTAGCCGTCTCTATTTCTCTCACCGTCCTCCTGCCCGGCCACACCCGGTATAAGCCAATAACTAACCAGCATTGGTGTCAACAGACCTTTCTCTGTGTCCGGTATCGTGGACAGTGGCCCTCTTCACTTAGGCCGTCCTTGTGATTCTCACTGATAATATTTGCAATGCTAGTTGGCCCACACCTCTCGAAACGGCATGCTGATTTTAATGCAAGCTTTTTCATAAAAAGGCAGGAAATTGACTGAAACAATAAACATCGTAAGTCATAACGCTAACCTATCATGAGTCATGGATGGCTCTTTGTTATCAGCCGACTAGTGATGTTCCTTCCAAAACATCAGAATCAATATAGCAAGCACTATTCAACCTATGTATTTAAACTTTGTTTCAGAGTTTCGCTTTCACAATTCGCTTTCACAATGGCGAGTTTCGGACTGTTTGGACGTACTTCGTATTCGTAAGGTTGGCATTTGCCAGGCTGGCAAAGGCTTTACCACTGACCCAGCTAGGAGCCAGCTGTAGCTGCAGACCCTCCCAAGGTGAAAAAGATGCCGACATCTGACTACCTGTGGCCCGGCAGTGCAATAGGAAGAGCAGTTGGTGTAAAAGCGGACCTTTGTAGGCTTCGCAGAACCAAATAACTTGTATTTGTATTTGTATTTGTATTTGTATATTTAAAATCGCCAACAGACAATAAGTCCACTTAAAAGGCGAAGTCAAAGAGACAGTAAAACAGCACACACCCACACACACAACACACACACACCTACATACCTACACACACACACACACTGAAGATAAAAACACGTAGGGTTATAAACACAGGAGATGTAAATAAATAAATAATAGCCTAAAAAGCCTAGTAAACAAGAAACACTAAAAGCACAGCGGATGCGATCACGCCGCTTCCAGCCCTTTCACATAGTTTAAAACGTGTCCTCTAAGTGTAGAAACTATCGCTAAAAACATCAGCGGGACTTCTAGTTAAAAACACGTTCATGGCCCTCGGTAGTCGGCGCAGAAAACCATCCCCGACGTTCCGTACGCGCCAGGGAAGCTCGGCGAAGAGCCGCTGTGAGCGGGTTGATCGCGGCGGCACATGGAGCGGAAATCTACCAAGGAGGTTAGAAGAACGGATTTTACCGGCCAGGATATTCCTCAGGAAGAGCAGGTCGTGTTGGTTTCTACGGACAGACAGTGATGTAATACCAAAATGATGCAGAAGAGAAGGATAGGACAGAGAGGAACATGGCGAGGATGTGTGGCTATTCAACCACAACAAGAATTTGTGCTGCACACGATCAACCCGCTCTGTGTGGGATTTGGCCGCTCCCGCCCAGACCACTAACTACCGCATTTCATGAGAGAAAAGTCTAATTCATTCAGAAAACTCTGTTTATTCCTGATCAGAATAAAGCATATGGAATACACTGGTCGTTACCAAACGAAATCAACTGATATGATAGATCATTGACTAACTACTGCTTTACCTACTGGTCCCTGATATCCTCGTAAGTAACCTATAAAAGGATAAAAAGAAACGGGGAAAATGAGAATGGTCTTTTTTGTCTACACGTGACTGAATATTATGCTCGGGTGATAACTGTTACTAGTCCGTAGAGCAATTACGACCTAATACACATAGGTATCCCTAATAATATAACAATGCCGAATGGCCTAAATGAATGATAATGCTTTATTAAAAAGTCAATCAAATTTGTTTGCCACCCTATCACCCGAAAAGTCACTCTCGAGTAGCACTGAACCCTCTTGAAATCACACAGAGCGGTGTGCAGCTAGTCATCTCAGGCTAGCATTGGGCCTCTGAAATTGGCGAGTGGCGAGTATCTAAAACGTAATCCTTTCGGAGTAGTGAGAGCCTGTGAGGCCCATGAAATCCACCTATTGTGTGACCCCGACAAGGTGGACCCATAGACTTCGAGAAAGATGTCCAGCCCCGTCTACGAATCGCAGAAAAGCATTTCAACAAATTACGTTTGAAAGTCACCACAATATCGATTTAAACGTGAGTAAAAGGAATAAAGATAGGAATGTGAAGAAAACAGACAAAAATGAACGGGGAACTGAACGGATACCGAATAGAAACAGCATCATCATCACATGGAAACCAGTAGGGTGGAATATTATGACCATTGACCATTGTGATAACTTGCTACTCAAGTTTATATACATAGAGCCATAAAGGCAACTGTAGAAAATGAAAGAATAATGATAAATGCAGATTCCAGAATGAGTCTATTATTACACATCATATCATGCTGACTTCGAAGAAGACTAAGGTTTGTTTCCATCGACATAAATATTTTAGACATGAACCAAAATAAGAATAATGCTAAAAAAAAAAAAAAACGCTTAAACATATAGCTATTTCAAAGAGAAAGTGAAACATCCAGGGAACAGTAGGACTCCGTCCCTTCTGCACGGCATTAATCGCTCTATCTGGGTGTCGTTGTCACTGCAGCCGCACAGTCTAAAAACTAAGCACCTATCGTTGCTCACATCGGGCAGTTTCTATAAATACACACACGTTCCAGCACCTGACGCCATGCTGAGATGCCCGAATTAAGTGCGATTGTTCACATGTCAGAAAACGTGGAACGGGACTTCAGTGTCCAGAAAGGACCAAATAATCGATAGAACTGAAGCGACTATGTTCTTATAGATCTAATCATATAGCAATGACAAATGGCCCAAAGGAATGAGTATGCTTTATTCAAAACTCAATCAAATTCATTACACACTCTATCAACTGAGCATTTATACCGGGACGGCACACTTTATTCTTAAGAAAAGAAGCCTCAAACTAGAATTAAAGTTGAACAGTTTTCCAGAACTGTGTTTTAGCTTTGACGACTGGCGAATGGCGATGACAAAACAAATATAATGAATAAAGGTAAGCTGACGCAAGACAAAATAAATTTTATCTGGCAAATTAATCATTTGAATCACGAAACAAGCATAGCTCTAGAGCACTGGGGGCTCAGCCACGTCAAAACCAAAACGTTAACACTTCGCTGCCTCAAGTCCCTTGAAATACAAGTGTTTACTAATACATGTTCCACATAAATATGAAGTCGAAAAAAGGAAACGTCGATGGCCAAAGTACAGGTAAAACATCCAAGATAGCCGGGAAACATGGGATAGATGCCAAAGATACAAGAAATATATGAGGGCACCTGGTACAAACACTAAACAACAACAGAGATACGACAAGGAGTCATGGGAGGAATAAGAAAGCAAATGTGGCCGACTAAGTGACATCAGAGGCACGTGAAGCGCATATAGGTCTACATCATAGCCGTATGTAAGATAGGAGCAGTAACGAGAACTCGTGAAACGCACGGGCAATGCGGCGGCATTTCGTCAGAAGAGGTTATTACTGAGGAGCGTGAACCGCGCGAAATATTAAATACGCGACTGTCGTTAGTTCGAAAGAGCAGCATCGTTTACATGAATTGTGGGGATGCGGAATATCGCTGCTCCATAACAAACTAATTAACCAGAGTGACACGTCAACAGACATGGTAGCAAAGATGTAAGGACTGCTCTGTGGCAGCGGATAATTAGAAACTGAAGCTTTGCTGCGGAAGCTGGGAGTTGGAACAATACGTGATTTTGGTATATCTGCAAGCAGCGCATGATGCGGATTTCGTGCTTGGGAATAAGGGAACTATTTGCACGGCTTGGTAATGTATGCTCCCGGAATCCTGGGAGAGGCTAAGAGCCGGATCATTAGCTCTGAATGCTGTTTACCCTTCCGGTGTCGTGCTTCCTATCTTCGCTGTAAATGCGCTGCACGAAAGTAAAATATGTTGCACGTTGTGTTCTCCAGAATTACATGTAAATAAATATTAAGAACATTTCGGCCTATCATAAAAAGGAGACCCGTAGAACAATGTCCACAGAACAAAACGAAACGATCCTATTATTATGATGTTCACATGCAGCTGTTCAATGCAGTTTGATTTGCTGGAGCGGGAGGTGGGCTCTCTCCGATCCATAACTTTCACGGTGCTACAGTTTAAATAGTCATAGCTTAGTTAGCAGCATTGTCGATATTGTATTTCGTATTTCGTACATTGTATTTCGTATAAGGAATACTGTACAATTGTACATTGTATTTAGTATCTCGTATTGTGGAATATAATGTGATTTGGGGTTCGGATTGCTTCAATGTTAGCCACACAAGCACCTCCCGAGGGAAGTCACCTAACTTTGAATTGAAATGTTGATTGCATGAGAATCGAGTATGACAGAAATCGGTGATATGAGCCACACCGTCGAAATGGTGCGATACAAGGTTTGATGCCATAGCCTGCCTTATTGAAAAAACAATTACGTGGGAACGGAGCTGTGGTGTTGTCGTTATTCTGTCATGAAACGGATCCTATAAGCTTACTCAAAGCTTACAGGTTTGCTTAACTCAAATTTCTGTAGGTATGAGACCATGACCGCTAGTTAATTAAAGCACATCTACTTAAGTACACGCAATCACTGACTCTGAAATGCCCCAACGGCATAACATTCGCCATAGTTGCTGATGTCTAATAAGCTTTTTCACGGTGCTGGCCATTCTTTACTTATTCACGCATTCATGAACCCAAACACCATCTAAGCATCACTTCGACAAATTCATCAAGTGCACAACATGCACGAAATTCCAGCAAAGAGCGCTCAAAACCCGAACACATGGATGCTCTCACAGTTCCTAGCCCCGACCGCAGCGGCCACTCGTCGGCCCGGCGCGGCGCGGCGGTCGGGAGGAGCGCGTAATCCCCGACCCGCCGCCGCCGCCGCCGCCGGCCGGCTGCAATTGCAACAATGGGGCTACGGACGGACAAATCGCACGTTATCGGTTAACCAAAAGCATCCAATTCGCTAGATTTGGAGCGAGTGATTGGGTTGGACCGACCGTGCTAGTGAGAATGGTGTGGACGTGGTGGTTCACTTCCATTCCCACGGGTCCTCCATTATCTTTGCAGCGAGGGCCGGAAGGCATAAAGGCGTGAGAACACCCGGGCGAGCCATGTCCCATTCCTCTGGTGCCTTTCTCTCTCGCTAGTACTCACCGGGCGGCTGTTCCATCACCATTTCAGACCCACTCCTCAGCGCCAATACCGGACCGCAATCACACGCCGCACAGACCACCCTCGCGCCGCAGCTCGCGCGCAACTGAGCCCGCCTCTCACCGGCCCCGGCGCCCGCTCATGCGCAGTAGGGTGCCGCGTCGCCCCGCCTCCAGTGGAGGTCACGTGACCTGTCGGACCGCCCCCGACTCCGCCCCCACGATTGATTGCCGGCCCAGACGGGCGCCGGCCCAGCGCCGCGGGCCTATGTTGCGCAACTGGGGGCCGCCGCCGCGCGCCGACCGGCAGCCGTGAAACGACGGCGGCGGCGGCGGCGACGGCGGCACTGACCCAGGACATCGCTGGCATTCCGGGCGGGGCGCCGCAGTTCGCAGCAAAGGCGCTATTTCGTCGCGGTGGATATTTTATTTTTCGGTGTAGGAGAAAGAAGGTTGCTGGGGTCCAAGTACGAAGCATACTTATTCAGTGAGTTATGTGACAGGAGGCACAATGGATGTGAAGTAAATGGGACAATGTCACTGTGATTATAGTTGGGTAGCAGAGCTTGGCGACATGTGTTTGCAAATTTAACGATTATGTGTTTGCGGAACGATTGCTTCAAAGAATTCTACAAAAGTAGTAAATAAATCAGTTACGCGTTTACAAAGCTGCATCTGAAAATGCATATTCTGTATTCAAATAAAGCGTAGGTGTTTCGCATAGTCTGACCGTCTAAAATGGTAATTATTATCGTAAGCGATTCAAAAGGCTGAAAAGAGTTTGTGACGAAAATTGCATCCCCCATGGCTCCCACATAAACGAGTCTGCGTGTTGAGACTCTGTTTGCAACGATATCAATCGTTCGCCGTCTTGCATTGCCCTCTAACCGGGAATCACCGCTTCAGTTCATTTATTTATGCATTTAACCAAACGCATTGACCAAAACTTATGCATGAAAAACATACCGAGAAATAGTGAGCTGCGATGATGCAGGGCATGAAACCTGGGACAATGAGAAAGGAAGCAATCAAAGGCTTTTGCTGCTGTGAAGCACAAACAGATGTTGGTATAAGCTGAAGAAAGAAGAGTTGCGGGCTAGCATGGCGGGTTCCCGTGGTGGTGCTAGTGGGTAGGCTGATGTGGTAGGTAGAAAGAAGTGAGCTGACCTAAGGATATTTATTATTGAGGTAGACAGTGGAAATAGTGACGGTAAAATAAGCCTGGTGCTGGTGGAGACGGTGACAGGGAGGCAGTGGTGGAAGCGATGATAGAGCGAGATCGGATGCTAGGAGTGGATGAATAGACCGAATGTGAGAGCTGAAAGCGACGACGTAAGGTGGTGGAGAGGGGGGGGGGGGGGGCGTAATGACGACCATGGCTTACAGCCTACAACCGGACTGGTGCCGTGTGTTTGCAGGTAGCGATCACTTCCCCGGCCACACTGGGCCGGTGTGCACGCCTCCCAATCAGAAACCAGCCAGTTCGGCCCCACAGTGCCAGATAGGTGACGGATGGTTCACGAGCGCTCACCACGAGCCCACGACGCGACCGCGGTCCCAGCGATCACCACATCAACTTCGTTATCGGCTTTGGGTAAAACGCCACGTAATCCTACCACGTAGCTTACCGCCACCACCAGCACCAGCAGGCAGCAGTGTCACGAGCCAGGACACGAAGTGTCAGGTGCGCAGTCACAGGTAATCAATAAAGGTGCAAAATGGATGGCAGAGATAGCGACATGTAAGGTGTCTTATTAGAGGAAATGGCTGGCCGCTGTATGACATTTTATCAATGCTCATTGGTCATTGGTTAGCGAGTTGTGACAATTCATTACCGCAAATGTTTAGCTTCGAGATTGTAGCACATTCTTAGTCATCCCGGAAAATCAAATAATCATTACTCACTTTGACGTATCACGTAAAAGAAGCGGATTTCGGTTAAAAATCCGGTGGAATGATAACGTCATGCCAGTGAGGCAGGCTCGTTCTTGATGGCTGATACTCGCACTATGTCTCGTAAAAATATTGTGTAAGCTCCTTACGCATGGAGTTTGTTACACATGGAATGTGAATTAGTGCCATCAATTCATAAGAAACAGAATGATCATGTCGTTTTTGATCTGCGTGATAAATGGTAATTGTGGTTACCGTTTTTATCGCTAACCACAATTGGAAATGCCATACCTGCTTGAAATTGAACAGGAAAGAATGTGAAATGAACACATTAATGCATCCGTTACCGTAAATGCCTACCTAAAAATATTGACACTTGGCAGAAGATGTCAAGTAAAAAAGAAAGAAGTGATTGATAAATATACACAACTCACATTCTTCCCAAAATAATGCGAGTTCTGCAAGAAGAAATGCCAATAAGAATACCAACATCGCTTAGGTACCAAGTTTCTTCCATCTAAAAGATCCATAAAACGGGCATTTTTGTACATTGTGACGCCCGTCAGACTAGCCCTGTAATATAATGAAGATACTTGTTAGCATGTCGTCCAAGACCATCACCCCCCAGCAGCGAAAGTCTAGCCCACCGAAACGGCATGCACCCAGAAGCAGCCCCCTCGGCCGCCGCGCAGACTGGTCGCCCGTTGCGGGGGCCATCAGGAGCGGTTCTGTGCGCCCAGCGGAGGCGGATTAGCCCCGAGCGACAGGCGGACGGCGGAGATCCGCCAGAGTCCGCACCTGTGTTAGGTCTGTTCCCCAGGATTACCGCTCGGCATGACGTCTGAATGCGCCAGGCTAGTCACGGTGACGTCTGACTGCGCTATGGCAGACGCAATGACGTCCGGGTGCGCTCTATGGTAGAAGCAATGACGTCGAAGTGCGCTCTATGGTAGCCGTGGTGATGGCGCTATATTAGCCGTAATGACGTCTCCCTGCGCTATGGGAGACGTCAAACCCACCAGTTTAGCCACTTATGCATAGGCGGTGGAACAGGGAGGGGGCACCTGGGCACCGTCCCCCCTCCTCAGTTTTGTCATTTTAACATTAGTCCTATGGGCGTTGCATGGAAAGAATGGGACTAAAGTCGGCAGTGTCCCCCCCCCCCTTTAATTGAAGGCGTTCCGCCGGTATTGCACTTATGTCGCCAGGCACTGCGAGTATTCAAATTGGAAGAAAGCAAGTTTATTAACCCTATTAGTGGCAGGCTCCTGGCTACCCCCTATTAGTGGCAGGGGGGGGGGGCTGTTTACGACCCCCCCTTGATATCTCGAGATCTAACGGCCGATTTTCAAAATTCAAACGGCATTCGATTGCGCTCAACGTGATCTACATTTCTAAAAAATAAAAATTAAAAAATGTCAATAGGGGGGGGGGGGTAGAGGGGGGTAAAAACGGGCAAATTGCAGATACATTTTAGACTGTTTATCACGGCCAGGTTTCTGAACCAATCTTAACGCAACTTTTGCCGATCGATAGAGAATGAACCAGGAATTCACATGGATCCTAAAAATATGCATTTTCAAAAATCATAGGCGGATACAGATCATTGAGATTGGGGGTACACAAAAAGTATAGTAAATAAGGTTTTTGTTGGTACTGTTTCTAAAAAGGGTGGTAATGGTCTTGTTTTGTTACAATTTTCTTATGAGAGAACGACTACAATTGTATTGGTCATGCATAGGCGGTGTCAGGGCACCTATGTTGGGAGGTAAAACATAACCCCCCTTTTTGGACGCCTGGATCCGCCTATTATAGCAAAAACGTGTCAAAAGAGGATGCACAATAACTGTATATGTTATCACATGATACCTTTCATTCACTGTTCGTAAAACTGGTGCAGCATCGTGATCTTCGCCCATATGACTCGCTTCACGAATAGGACCCCCCAATTCCCAGTGCTCTGGAGCCGCCCTTGGTAAAGTTATGAACTTGAAATTTTCAGGGAATGTGCCCAATTTAGTTTTAGGAAAAGTCAGAAAATTTCAGCATCGTAGCTTCAGCGGTTTTGGAGATATTCCCGAAAAACTTGAGGGGTGGATAAAAACAACCCCCCCCCCCCCCTGCCACTAATAGGGTTAACCAATAAATAATCTAAGAACAGCTATGATCTGGAGGGTGCTTTTCACAGATGCAGTATTGTTTTGCACACATCGAAAGAGCTGATCGCTGGCAGGTGGCAGACCAGCAGTCGACTCTGTGCATGATAGCAGCGCACAAACCGATAGCTCTGCTCGGCTGAACAGGGCAGACCGGATCGGTCATCTCTGTACGGTAAACAGGAGACGAGCGACCACGGACGACCGACGGCAGATCATCCAGCCCCTCCGCCTGCGTCAGCAGGCCACAGTGCGTGGGAGGCCAGGGACGAACACGTCTCCCCGAGTCATGTTATTCGCGGCAGCTGTCACTCGGCACACACATGCAGCATTGACGGGCTGCCAGGTCAGACCCAGATTAACTCTGCCCTCCGCGCTGCTGTCCAACCGCGTCCGCAGATAATACCCTTCCTCCGCCCCCTCCCCCGGCCCCCACCGCCCGGCCAGTCGACCAACAGCGCATTGTGGTGCAGTCAATCCAAGAACGTCAGGTATTTATAGAGATGCCAAACAGCGATTATGTTTCTATCGGTGGCCCTGTTGGCGTGTCAGCCGGCACGGTCCCTTCCTGTCCTGCGGGGGCGTCCGGCAGCGACCGGCCGCGCGTCCCGCCTACCGTTCCGGAAAGGGAAGGGTGACGGACGGACGGCCAGCCGGCAGACGCCGCCCTGTCGGACAATAGGAGTGGCGCGGTCGACAGGGGCGTCCCAGGCCCATTGTGCGGCGGCCGCGGCCGGACGGCCGGCGCCCAGCGGGGGTGGACGGGGGACAGTGTGACACGTGTCAGTCAGCACGGCACTCGGGTCGAGAGCAACTGGACCATGCGACAAAGGACCAGGTAGATCTGTGAATGTCGACGGTCGATCGGCGTTCAGAAAATGAGGCGATGCATGACTCGGCTATCTGTAAGGGTTGAATATTCGGAAAAGGGTTGACTGGATCTGTAAGCGCTTCTAGACTAGACTGATCAGGGAAAGCTATAGGCACATAGTATAATCAAATTGCATACCTACTGTTGTTAACATCCTAAGCTATGTTATTGCTACCATTTGTTCAACTGCAA